CAATGTCATTTTCGTTAGGAATTTCGTGGCAGATTTTGTGATACCAGCAAAAGTTATTGACGTCTTCAGTGTGAAATCGGGCCTACACAACACTGTGGATTGCAAAGGCTGAGGTGGTTTTCTTAGCTTTTTATTTTGTTCTACCGAATGTGTACGTCGGTCAGCATATTTACTAGGTCAGACGTGGTAATCAGGACTAATTATTTATGAAAACAGACTGGTTTATTATTATTTTATTTGAACACATAAATATTGGTACAAGAGAGCGCCAATATATATGCGCCACACAAAACAATGGGAATTCGAAGAGAAGAAGAAAAAAAAAAAACTAAGGAACGCAAAAGAAAAAGAGAGTAATGACGATAAGGTACAATCAGAAGAAATCTTTCAGGTAAAGGAGACACAACCACTTTTTATGAAGAAAGTAAAAGAAGCTTACAGCAGGATCGCCACTGGCTTCTATTCTGAGCCATATCTGATAACGTCTCTAGCCACTGTGTAGCACCATCTCTCGGACCCCAGCCAGGGAGTCGTGAAGGACCAACACAAGCCAGTCCTTTGCAGCTTTCTTTCATGCCACGACACCATGTCATGCACTGACCACCTCTCCGCTTCTTCCAACCAGTCCCAGAGTCGGCAAATAATGCACGACGTGGAATTCTCTGGGACGACATTCGGAGAACATGTCCAAGCCACCGAAGTCGGTGTTTCAAGATGGTGACACCAATTGAGTTATCATCTCTGTGCCCGAACACACGATGCCGAACCTCTGCATTACTGACATGGTGTTGCCACTGGATGTCAGCAATCCTTCGGAGACAGCGATGATCGAACACAGAGAGTCGTCTAACGTCCTCAACTCGGAGAGGCCAGGTTTCACAAGCATAGAGCAAAACTGCTCTCACCGACGCGTTGTAGATCCGGCCTTTTACAGCCAGACTAACATCACGAAGGCGCCAAAGGTGGCCCAGATTGGCATAAGCCGCTCTGGCTTTCACTATTCGTGCATTGATCTCATCACTCACACCCCCACCAGCACTTATGCAGCTACCCAGATACACGAACTTCTCAACTACGTCTATCTGCTCACCATCCAGGGTGAGTACAGGATTAGAATCCTGCCAGTCTTGTAGAAGTACTTTGCACTTCGAAGGTGCAAAGCACATACCATACCTACGGACACTGATTGCCAACTGATTAAGTGCGGATTGCATGCCTTGGGCATTATCGCACAGTAAGACAATATCGTCCGCATACTCAAGGTCGAGAAGTCTTTCTCCAGGCAACAGATCCACACCACCATTACTTACATTCATCAGAGCTGTTTCCAGAATGTCATCGATGGCAAAGTTGAAGAGGAATGGTGAGATTGGGCAACCCTGCCTAACCCCACTGCTCGAATGGAACAATGGAGAGAGGTGGTTGTATGCCCTCACTCTGCCTGAGGTGTTTTTATACAGGGCTTTTAGGATGTTAATAAACTTCTCAGGCACACCCTTCTTCAATAGACAATCCCAGAGAACAGTCCTATCCAACGAATCGAAGGCAGCCCTGATGTCAAGAAACACTACGATTGTTGGCCTTTGAAAAGTATGGCGGTGTTCTAACATTTGGCGGAGGGTGAAGATATGATCAATACATCCTCGACCAGAACGAAACCCAGCCTGCTCCTCGCGAGTCAATCTTTCTCGGGTTTTGAACAACCTACGAAGAATGACGGAAGCCAATAGCTTGGACGCAATCGGAAGTAAACTTATCCCCCGATAGTTGTTACAAGAACGACGTGAACCCTTTTTAAAGATAGGGACAACTATCGACTCATTCCATGACGTTGGTACACTCTCTAGTTCCCAAACCTTTGTAAACAACGTCGTCAATTCCTTAGTCAAAAAGTCACCACCATCTTTAAAAAGAGCCGGAGGTAAGTCATCTGGGCCAGGTGATTTGTAACGCTTCAAGAGTTGGAGTTCCTTGCGGACTTCCTCCTCGTTTGGTGGATCAGTCGTCACCGGCCATGGAGGGCAGGACAGTCTGACCGATGTTGCCGGAGCAGCAGGCCAGTTGAACTGCCCTTCGAAAAATTCTGCCCATCGTCCAAGACGTCGATGGATGTTAGTGATTGGCATCCCATCATCCTCGCAGATTGTTTCACTCACACCAGACTTCTTGCTGCCAGTGGCTCGGATGAGTTGGAAGAGCTTCCGGTAGTTACCAGATGCAGCTGCTGCTTCCAGCTCATTAGCACGCATCGACCACCAGGCTTCTCGGTCCTTACGCAAGCTTTGCCCGATTTCCTTACGTAACATCCTTCGTTTATGGTCAAACTCACGGTCACCCGGAGTAGACCGACGGGCTTCAATGAGTTGTAAGGAACCAGAAGAAACCCAGTGCTTAAAAGCGGGACGTTTCGCAAACCCACAACTGACTGTTCCCGCCATTTTCATGGCGTCATGCAATTGCAACCAATGCTCATCTATACTTTTCGGTGGAGTGGTAGCTAGCCTAGAGGCTAGCTCGGTTCGATACTTACTTGCAACAGAAGTTGCAACCAGCTTGCTAACATCAATCCGTTGATGGCGTTCACTTCGTTGTCCACTGAAAAGTAAGGCAAGATTGGCGCAGACCAAGGCATGGTCAGAGTCCAGATAGGTACTCCAAAAGGAGCGGCAGTCTTGTACACAACCACGCCAGCGGTAGCTGATCGCGATGTGATCAATCTGAGTCCAGGCTTGAGATGCAGAGGGAGGACGCCAGGTGGCACATCGGCGATGACTGTGCCGAAAGTTAGTGCTAGCCAGAAACAGGTTGTGGTCTGTGCAAAGTTGCAGTAGACGGTCCCCGTTATCTGACCTGCGACCAACGAGTCCCCATCGGCCACCTAAACGACTCTCTTCTGTGCCTAGACGCCCGACCTGAGCATTCAAGTCTCCGGCTAGTACTACAATATCTGTCGAACGCACTTTCTGGAGAAGAACTGATAACTGGTGGTAAAACTCATCCTTGATTGCATCCGGGCTGCAATCTGTCGGGGCATAGGCGGAGATGACGAAAAGACATCGTTTCTCACGCCGATTTCTTCTCACTTTGATGGAACTTTCTAATCTAACAGCACATAACCGACTGTTAATGGGGATCCAATCGACTAGTGCTGCCTCAGCTCTAGCGCTTAGTGCGACACCAACGCCAGCAAGACCAGACGAAGATGCCACAGGGTCCCCGGATAAGCGCACGTAAAACAAGCTTTTCGAAGCGACAGATGGAGATCGAATTTGTAGTACTTCGCCAGAGTCTTGAATACGGGTCTCGGATAGACAACACACGTCGATATTAAGACTTTCCAAAGACATAGCCAGCCCTATCTGTTGTCCGACCTGCATAAATGTGCGAACGTTGAAGGCAGCCAGTTTGAATGGTGCACGTGGTTTCAGAAAATCTGCTTCAGTCCTCGTATTCGGTGGTAACATACAATTTTCAACCGGACAGTGACTCGAGAACGTTTAGATACAGTCGGAATTCCACCAAAGACGAGCCGCTGTATAAGTATAAAAGAGGGTGAATAATGTGGAAAATAATAATAATAATGATAATAATAACAATAATGACAATAATAGTAGTAATAATAATATTAGTATTAATAATGACAATAATTGTAATGATAATAATTTGAATCAATTGTTTGTTTTTCAAAGCGACAAAAGTAATTTCCATAGACATAAAGAGTTCATCATTTGTGTGTGGGCTGTGATACTGCCCGGGTGCCCAAACCGAAGCAGGTGGTTATCTTAGGGGGCCACTCCCCGAGCCTTTGACCTAAAGGTCTAACCCACAAGGCAGTGGAGCATCGTAAGGAGATGCAGTCCCATGGTAGCCGGTGACCAACGATTGGTTCATACGCCATTCGTTCCCGCAGGATACTGGAGCCCATGTGCACCATTGGTTTGGAATCCGGTTAAAGCGCCGGACATTCGCTTTTCGTCCTCTCATTTTCGTAAACAACACCCCCGCCACGAGAAGGCAATGAGTAGGACTTCCCTGGCAGAGGCTGTATACGCGTGGCCGTGTGAGAGTATTTCGAGAGGGAGAGCGGACTCTCCCCACTCTCGGCCGTACCAGGGCATTCAGGGGGCAAACAGACTGGTAGGGAGGTTTTAATTTAGTGGCCTCACGTCATTAGCTCAGTGAAAGCGTTTAGCTCAAAATCAAATGTAAAAACATGCATTTGGTTTTACATATCTGTTAAGATCCAGTAATCCATACCATCCATGGCTTCTTGCTCAAGTTGTTTGGAGTATATCTCATCATTGCCTGCTATTTCACGTAATAGCCAGGAGAGTCATCATTAATGGATAAAATTTCACATTAACCACCAGCCTGTGGGAGATTCTTGCTTGCAGTTTATCTGTTGGCATTCGGCGTAGGTTCCTAAGGTTCTTTATTGAAACTATAAATCCTCATACTATCTATGAACATTCATACTTGTAGACTCATGTATTCGACCTTACGCCACACTTCAGTTGTCAGGGTTGGTCCCACTAAGCAGCTACTCGAACCGAATAATGTGTGCAACTAGAGTGCTTTGGACACCTAGTTTCTGCATGTGTTGTGACTTGTATTTACAAAAGTATCGACAGGCCTTTAAATACTTAACACCAGTTCAGTGGACGTCTATGTAATTTGCAGTAGCGATGCAATATTTTGTCCGAAAAAAACGTTCATTTAACACGCTGCTCGTCCGAGGTAGTGTATTTTCCGTCTAAAGGATGCTTGCTAGAATTAACGTTCTTTCAACAAACTTCTTAATTGTTTCAGATAACAATATAGAGCTTTTCCTCCATAATTCAGATTTTATCACCGGAAAGGAAATGTGGATGTAAGGGAATCCGAATTTGTGCAATATGTGACAATGACAACATTCACAAAGATGTACGATAAAGTTTTCTAATTATGATGTTCAGGAAGGACGACAGCTTTACGAGTTCACATTTTGTCCTTTTTGCGATATGGCAGTCGTTGAAACAAACACCATGTCAAAAGAGTTTCATGTCCATCAAGGTGGTTTTCCTTTCTTAGACATCGAAGTTATTCGAAATTTTGTTGACGAAAATGAAGAAGCAATGTTGGTCAAGGAGATCGATAAACAAGCATGGGTTTTATCTCAATCCGGGAGGAGAAAACAGGTATGTGTATTTTATCTTAAATTTCTATCATTTTGTCACCGAAATCTCGGTCACTATATATCATTAATCTTCAGCGTTACATATATATGGCACTAATAGTGTCATGTCTCAGTAAAATATATGTTAAAATGCGACTATATGAAGGGGGTGCCTTGATAGCTATTACTTGATATTTTGTGCTTTATATGGCCGAGTTGTGAACGCCGTTAAGTCTGGGAAATAGGACTTTCAACAATAAGAAAGTAAATTTTAGTTTCGCGTTCACAATTCATGTATGTTGTGATGAAGACTATATTTTACTTGCGTGAGATCATCATATACACATAAAAATTATAGCTAAAATGTAATTCAGTCAGTAAAAGGTCGAGTATGACTAAATCAGGGGAAAAGTTAGCTTTGGAGTCATTGATTATCAGTATAAGTCGTTTCTGGACGTGTCTTTTCGAAGGGTTTTTGAGAAGTGAGGAACAAGTAGCAGAAAATACGCCTTACCATCAGGCAAAGACGAAAGTTAGATAAAAACGTGAACTTAGTACTTCAGGCAAGGGTGTGTCAATTTAAATCTCCAGACTTAATAAATCCAGTAGGCATTGATTGATCACCTATATCTTCTTCAGCAGCCGTTGCCTGGAATAACTAAGGTGTTACTTAAAATATGATATTCAGATTACCTACTTTAGGTAGTCTAGTTGATTTATCTTTCCAGATTGTAGGAAAGAAGGCACCCTTGTAATGATCCGATCAATTGTAACTCACCTCATAAAGTATATAAAAACTGTGGGTCTATATTTTCTCAGTACATAGTTTATTTACGAAGGGAATCAAATTAGGGAAGGCAAGAAGCGTTCATGGTCATTTGACAGCGTACTTATACAATTATAAGTTTCATCACATCCTTAGTTACTGATCATTATTATTGGCGTTTTAATTCATCGTTTGTTGAGTGTTGTGGTACTGTCGATAAATGCGAAAAGCATCATTCCAGTTTACAGTGCTTTAAGTTAATACTCAGAAATTTGTGTGATACGTTCGTGCGCTGTGCTAATATTTTGCAATAAACCGAGAGAGACTAGTTTGTCCTTTTCTTCTATGTCTTGCTAACTAGAGTAAAACGACCAGTCTCGTAATCTGACCCTTGTTGATGACCTCGATAAAACTGTTGAACGTCCGCTAGTGAGACTTTCGCAGTGCAATAGTGCGCTATGTAAAATAGCTAGTGGAAATAAAACATGTTGTGATAAATTTATAAGATCTCTAACAGTCTATTTATGTTACTCAGCACTAGTGTTCCTTCAGTGTAGGTGAGGTATGGCAACTTGGACCGATGCATATACGTGCCTGGTCATACGTTGTAGCTGACTGACCGACTCAATGTAGGTGTCGGGTCTTATTTCTCTTGTGTACTGACTCAGTCATAATCAACATGAAGCCTAGGATAAATATACAGTAACCCGACTTAACATCCAACATCAGCACAGAGAGATGAAGTTGACAAGTCAAATGACACTCTACAACAAACATTCGCAATGTGGTCCGAGTAGAGGGAATGGAACGGTATGCATGAACGCATACTGATACTAGGAGTCTGGGGGAAAATAAACGATGAGTGCATCTGCCCCACTGTGACTGCTAATCTTGAGCCGTATCACTCAATCACTAATGACAGTTATTGTAGGGGCCACAACCAGGTAGTCTACACAGACCAACATAGATGAGATGAACAGTGGATGACTGTACAGATTAGTTAAACGGCCCTTAGCTTCCTTCTGAATTACTGCTATTCCACCCAACGTTGCACGTCGAGGTAAGTGGTTGTTGAACATAACTAATACAGGTCCCAGCCACCTCAGGTGACGAGAATTCACAGTCTCGTTAGCCGATTTTACCATCTTTGTCTAGTACCCTATTCGCAACCTAAATACTGCTTACTCTGTGATTCCAACACTTGTGATCGCAGTCTGCGGTTTGCACATGTCTTCTACTTTCATGGATCATGTTGCTCACATATGGATTCCTGCTCAATAGACTCATCCGTTCGTTTGTAGCCGGGTATTTTGCTTACGCCACAAGTGACGCGATTCCTCAAAGCCAAGTGGGATTTCTAGATCCATTTGTAGAATTGGTCAGACGCCAATCCACTCAGGTTGATAAAACGTCCTACTGAAGTGATCGACGCAACTACTGTAGTGCCACATCTTCAGTCTGGGCAATAACACAGGCCAATCGTGAAGCAACATCCTGTTGTTAGAAAGAAAATCGCATCCGGAAGATGCCTACGATATTGCTCATGGTCTTCAAACAACTATGAATTGAGTCAGTGTCTTTAATCAGTTGTGTTGTTCCATCTGTGCCATTCATGTTGGTTGTTTCATTTTCAGAAACGAGGTCAATCATTCAAAAGTTTCATGAAGAAATTGAGACTTGTAAGAGGTCATCTCTTACGAAATGGGTTTTCAAGAAATGGGATAGTAAGTAAGCTTGATGAACACTTGAAGTTGACAGTTTGACTTGAGCTGTGATCCGACCAGTTGTCTGTGGATAAAACGACTTCGGGATTTCTACATACTTCTTCAGTGCGCTTTTCTAATCACAAACAGTGAATGCTTGTACAGATCAGTTAGACTGTTCTTAGCTTCCTTCTGATGTACTCCTACTCCAATGCCTTCTCGACCAACATAGTTGATTGGTTCTTGCATTTCGCAAGTAACAAAGGTTAAGGATAATTTTGTGTTCTTACTCTTCAACAGAATATTTATTAGTGTTAATTCTTCACGTCTTCTGACAATTACATCTGTTCTTCATATCACCTCTTCATTGTGTCATTTTGTCGTTATTAATCTCCTCTCTGTCTGTGGTTCCGGAGCCAGCTAATTAAGTCGATGGGTTCACGCAACAGGTTCTGCTATGTTTCAGCCAACAATGTTGTCAATATTTTTCTTAGTGTGATGTTACTGCATTGAAATGTTGACATTCAGTCTATTCATATGAGTTTGTTGCCAAATGTTGTTTTAGGATTATGGACCAAAAGTGAATTTCAAACGACAGAAGGTGCAGATTGGAGGATTTGATGGTCTGCCAGCATATTCTAGGTTCCTCATAACACGTTACAATGATTTGATTAAAGAAAGCAAATCTCTTTGCCCTGAATTTTTCCCAGTAGAGTTGTGCAACCTGGAGTATAAATCAGATCGTGGAGCTTGTATTGTACCGCACTATGATGATTCATGGTTGTGGGGTGATCGATTGGTGACTGTCAATTTGAGTGGCGCCACTTATTTAACTTTCACATTACCGACAACTGATGTGGTGGATGGCATAAACCACGAATTTCAACGTGTTCAATCGTGTGTGCCAAATGTTTCTCGAGGCTCAGTAAGTCTACTGTGTTTTCAACAGTATCTCTAAACTGGATTGTTTATGGTTTCCCTAATTATTACTATGTGATATTATTTTGTAATGTAAAGGTGTACTGATAAGGATTCATCTTTGCCTGGGTCGTGTGTTCAGACGTGTACTGAGGAAGATGAAATTCATGTTTTGCTGTTCTGTGTGTTTGTCTACGAAGATTCGTAACTCAGATATCACACCAGCAGTGGTTTCAACTTCCAAACAACGCACAGAAATATATTTAACATAGCTATAATTATTAGTTTGGAAAATACGATGTGACCTGTTGTTTGAACGGTTATCGTGATGTCTTTGTTTTACGTACGTTTAACGCTTACTATTTTGAATAATTAGTTGACCGTAGTAAATTGAACATTCCACTTATGGGAGATTTATATTACAAGGCTTTGATCTGCATACATATTTAGAGTATTTAAACGTTGGAATTTCAGATCTATTTAAGATCAAGATTTTCAATAATTCATCCTAATATTAGATGTCTTGTAATGCATTTCTTATAGTTTTATCCTTCATAATAATTTTCTGAAAAAATTTGGGGCTCATTTTATGATTGAAATATATAGTTGTGTGTGTCGCTCGTTCTTATAGGTTTGGGGATATGCCTACTTGATTCGGTTTGGGCACCCGGACAGTATCCCAACTCACACACAAATCAAATGATCATTACTAGTGAGAAAATTCTTCTTGTTTCAACTCTTATTCAGACAAATCATATTCACAACCATGTGGCAACATTCATTTTTATTTTTCAATTTATACAGCAGCTCATATATGATGGAAACCTTGTCCTATCTAAACGATCTCATGTCACTGACTGGTCGACAATTAAATGCTACCACTGAACCAGTCTTTTTGAAACCACGTATACCATTCAATGTTCGCACACTAATACAGATCGGATATGTAGGGTTGGTCATGTCTTTAACATCGATGTCTGTTATCTATCTGAAGCCTGTATTCAAGACTCAAGTGAAGTACTACAAGTTGGCTCTCCATCTGTCGCTTCGAAAAGCCTGTGGCATTTTAGTTTAGTTTTGCTGAGGTTGGTGTCACACTGACCGCTAGAGCTGAGGCAACACTAATCGATTGGATCTCCATTAACAGTGGATTATGTGCTGTTAGATTAGAAAGCTACGTCAAAGTGAGAAAGAATCTATTGGGGAAACGATGTATTTTCGTCACAGATTGCAGCCCGAATGCGATCAAAGATGCATCTTACCACCAATCAACAGTTCTACAGAAAGTGCGCTCGATAGATACTGTTACGGCCGAGGGTGGGCAAAGTTAGCTTTCCCTGTCGAAATGCTCTCGCACGGCCACTGCCAGAGAAGTCCTACTGACTGCCTTCTAGCGGTGGTTTCCGAAATTGAGAGGACGAAAAGAGAATGTCTGGCGCTTTAACCGGGTTGGTAGATATGGAGGATCCTCCTAGGGGAGTTGGGAAACCCTGATTCCAAACCAACGGTGCACATGTGATCCTGAGGGAACAAATTTTCGGTCACCGGTTATCATCGTACTACATCTCCTGACGTTGCTCCACTGCCTAGTGGATCAGACCTTTAGGTCGAAGGCTCGGGGTGTGGCCCCCAAAGAAAAACATTTACTTCGGTCTGGGTACCCGGGCAGTATCACAGTCCACACACAAATCAAGTGACTTGCGCGGCACATATGTATTTGGTGCCCCTTTGTACCAATGTTTATGTGTTCAAATAAATAAATAAAAGTAATAGCCGAGGACATGATTGCTCAAGTTGGGCGTCTAGACATAGAAGAGAGTCATTTAGGTGGTCGATGGCGACTTGTTGGTCGCAGATCAGATGACGGTGACCGTCTATTGCAACTGTTCGTAGACCGCAACCTGTTTCTGGCTGGCACTAACTAGTGGCAGAGTCGTTGCCGATGTGCCATCTGGCGTCCTCCCTCTGTATCTCAAGCCTGGACTCAGATTGGTCACATGTCGATTATCTACTGCTCCTTTTGGAGTACCTACTCTGATCATACCCTTGTTTGAGCTAATCTTACTTTACATTTCAGTGGCAAACAAATTCATCGCCCTAAACTGATCGATATCAAAAATTGATTGCTGCTTCTGTTACAATTAAATATCAAACAGAGCTAGGTTCAAGGCTAGCTACCATCCCACCGAAAAGTATAAATGAGCACTGGTTGCAATTGCATGACGCAATGAAAATGGCGAGTAAAGTCGCTTGCGGTTTCGCGAAACGTCCCGCTTATAAGCACTGGATTTCTACAGGCTCCTTATAACTTGTCGAAGCCCGTCGATGTACTCCTGGTGACTGCGAGTGTGGCAATTGTCGAAGATTGTGTCGTAATGGAATTGTGCAAACCTTGTGTAAGGACCAAGAAGCCTGTTGGTTGGGGCGTGCCAACGAGTTGAAAATTGCGGATGCTCTTTCACTGGCAGCAAGACGTCTGGTGTGAGTGAAACAATCTGTGATGACGGAATGCCGGCCAGTAACATATACTGACAGCTCGGACGATGGGACGAGTTTTTCGAGGAGCAGTTCAGTTGGTCTACTACCCCGGTGACGTCGATCAGATTGTCCTGCCCTCCAAGGCACGTGATGACTGGTCTGCCTAACAAAGAGGAAGTCGACCTTTTAGTTATGGAACTGACTGATTTGTTTACAATGATCTGGCAATTAGAGTGTTCCAACATCATACAATGAGGAGATAGTTGTTTCTATCTTTAAAACGTGTTCATTTTGTTTCTGCAACAACAATCAGAGGGATAGGTCTACTTCCGCTCGCGTCCAAACTATTGGCATCCGTCATACTTCGTAGAATGTTCAAATCCCGAGAAAGATTGACTCGCAAGGATCAGGCTGCTTTTTGTTATGGTCGAAGATGTATTGATCGTATCTTCACCTTCCGCCAAATGTTAGAATAACGCCATACTTATTACAAGCCACCAATCGTAGTTTTTCTTGACATTAGATCCGCCTTCGACTCGTTGGACAGGGTTGTTCTCTGGGATTGTCTATTGAAGAAGGGTGCCTGAGTTTATTAACATCCTAAAATCCCTATATACAGACACCTGAGGCAGAGTGAGGGCATACAACCATCTCTCTCCATTGTTCCATTCAAGCAGCAGGGTTATACAGGGTTGCCCACACTCACCATTCCTCTTCGACTTTGCCATCGATGACATTTTGGAAACGGCTCTGATGGACGTAGGTAATGGTGGTGTGGATCTTTTACTAGAGAAAGACTTCTCGACCGTGAGTGTGCAGATGACATTGTCTTACTGTGCGATGATACCCAGGTAGTTATGGTACGTGTTCTGCATCTTCTAAGTGCAAAGTACTTTTACAAGACTGACAGAACCCTGAACCTGCACTCAGCCTGGGTAGTGAGCAGATATAACCAGTCAAGAAGTTCGCGTATCTGAGTTGTTTCTGGTGGTGGCGTGAGTAATGAGGTTAATTCACGTATAGTGAAAGCCAGAGAGGCTTATGCCAGTCTAGGTCATTTTCGCGCCATCGTTATGTTAGTCTGGCTGTAAATGGTCGGATCTACAGTGCGTTGATGATAAGAGGAACAAATGAAACTACTGATGATCAGTGTCTTTATCATGATTAAACACCTCTTACGGAAATTTTCCCGGTTTAGCAAACCTAGTATAGGTTAATGATTAATTAAATAAACTGATTGTTTAAGCCTTATACTAAACATGATCCAAGTTGTTTACTTCATCCAAATAACATCGGCTGTAATATGATTGTCAAGTAATCAACACTACCCTCATTACAATGGTTATGAAGATTTTTATAAGCAATTTATGAGCTTTATTATAATATTCAGGAACTTTTTTCCTTTCTGATATACGTTTTTTTTATTTTGTAGTTTTGCGTACGTGTGCTGCTGGACAGACGTTCCCTTGTGGTTGTTAGTGGACCTGCACGATATATATGGCAACATGAAATTAGGCGTTCAGATATACCTATCCGACGTATTGCTATGACATTTCGTGAATTGAGTAGTACATTTTCTCCCGAATCAGGTAATATGACAGATGAACAAAAATTCGGTAAGAAACTCTTGGAAATCGCTTCCACATACGCTCATATGTGAAATAAAAAGATGAAATATACAACTGTGTTAATAACAGCTAACAAATATAAACCCTTAACGTTCTTCATTAAACTTAAACTTGACAAACTACACTCACAAAATCGTTCTATTGAAGAAACGCACCAATAGTGATGAGGTTGTTTGATACGAATGGTAAAACATCCAATAAACTATATAATCTCTGTTCCTCATAACACTCAACTCTTTCGGTTACATGATCATCAAGCTCCTATAAATTCTTTTAAGTTATGTTCAGTAATATTATACTTAACAGGAAAGCGATTATTGAAAAACTCCATACAATGAAGCCCAAATGATAAGGGAACCAGCATAATATGAGTTAATGTTATTTCATGCTTTCTCTTCAGTTGCCTACAATCGTATTCGTATCAAAGTGTAACATTGAGATATAATAATAACAATACAAAATTATAGACACTGGCAACGGAATAGAAAAAAGGCCTACAGTTATTTAAAAAATTCTATACGTGAAAATACGCGGTCACATTAATTCATTAAGAAGTGTGTCAAAACATATGGATTTTTTTAAATATGATACAACATAGAAGAAAGCTTGTTTTGTACATCTTCGCTTTAATAAAGATGAATTTACTGAAACAATTATTGACAAAATAAATGGCGCAATAAAGATCGCTCATTCAGTAGCAACGTTAGTCAACTGACATGAAGTAAACTGCTCCCTTGAAAAAAAGAAGTCGACAAGTCTTCTTCTCTCAGTACCTCCAACTACATTTGTCTATCTATATCTACGTCCAAAAGCGTATATATATATATATATATATTCTCTAACACGTTTCAAAGAATGCGAGACTACAACTATTGGGCATCCAATTGGTAGCAGCCAGATTACTGACATTTACCGGTCTTTAAAAGCAATGCAGCTTCATAATGTTTCACTGAATCAATAACAAATATAAGAGTTCAAACTGGATTTATTTACAGACAGAGAAATATCAATCTACCACTGTGTTATATTCGGTCGTCGCGATTGTTGTGCCGGAAAAAGCCGCTGATCACTTATACTCGGAACGAGGGACCTCGGCAATTCCCACGATGTGAAAGTAAGAACACAAAGACTGGTATAAGTGATTATTTATTAGCCCCAAACACAATGACGACGATGATGATGATCATAATAGTCTAAAATATACTGGTTTACATATTGATTTTACATCCATTTTGATTAATAATTAGGATTAAATCACATACTCAGTTAAAATAAATCACTTACTGAGCATAGTTCATGTCAACTGAATACAAGATTATCGTTTGTTATACAGAATAAAAAGATCATACGGGGAAACAAAACCGAATACTACACTGAATGATCCTCACGTTGAATCAAAATGGATGCTGAATGTTGAACCAAAACTCATCATGAGTAAATCAATCATATCATACTGCCTTAGTAAATACATCTTTGTCAAGATCATCTACAATTACTGTATTTATTTTGTCATTCAGTCTTCACTAAACTAATTGTTATTTCATCTACGTTAAAATTATATTTTCATTCGCCTACTTCTTCATACTTATATACACTCATATGATTTTGAAATGATGGAGAAGATTTATAGCTCAAGTGGATGATTTTGATGGAGCTCCACGACCAAACTATCCAGCTCACAGAATAAAACTCCACCAACGGTTTCTGCACTTCATCTAGTTACTGCCTCACTCTATGTTTCTGAATCCCACCTTCGGATGACCTCATGCATGCCTATATATATATATATATATATATATATATATATATATATATATATATATATATATAGATATAGATATATATATATATAGATATAGATATAGATATATATTTAAAACCATTGCTACTCCAATTCTTTCCGTTTGTAACTTTATATTATTATTGTATCTTAATGTTATACTTTAATACGAATACAGTTATGAGCAGTTGAAGGTTAAACCACAAAACAAAATGAATTCTTTATTCGGCCTCAATTGTTGTGTTTGACTTTTATTCAAATAGTATACTATCTATGAGGTACAGTAAATAAAATAAATAATATTATCTTGATATTGTATTCTTAACACTGTAATTAAGCCATATTCCCCCCAGCAACTATTCTGCTTATAATTTTGGTCGTTTAATAATATAGGAACTTGTACAGATAAATTAGATGCTCAGTAGTTGTCTTTACAATTTGAGGTTTTCTAATAACTTTATCTATGTAATCCTTCAGCTTAATTAAGAAAAGTAGAGAAATTTGATGATGATGATGATGAAGTGACGTAAAATACGATCTACCAAACACTTCTAGTGGATATTTAAAGTAGTAATGGTAATTGGATATTAGTCTGTTGGACCAAGATTAGAATTTCTGAGACAATTAACCATACCTCCCTCAAAACTCAAATGAACCACATCTCTATTCATATGTGAAGAATCTAGAAACTAAATTAATCCTTAAACTCCTTCAAAGGCAAATTATTTGAAAGATTATCAAATATCTACATTAATAAAAGATTGGTTAATTGTCACTTTACAGTAAATTAAGATTTATGTATTACGGACAGTTATGAACTTACCATAAAATGTAAAATATCTATCTTTCATATTCATTCTTAGTACTACTAATGTTCCATCTGAACATCAAGGTCTCACTACTGTCTCCTCTTTAAAACAAGTCGGATATTTATCGAAAATTTATAGTTGAATACGGCGATGCTAAAAGAAGTTATGGTGTTTTATCAAACTAAAGATAGATAATTAGTCCTTATAAGTTAAGGTGATATGGTAGTGGTTGTATAAAGCGTTTATGAAAAGGTTTTTTATTTATTTATTTCTAAATTAATGACGGTTAGTTATTTCTATATATATGCATGATTTTAGTATTATATTAACCGGTGAACGGCATGAATATCATCATTTTTATATGTTGATTTATATGAATTCCGGACATAGTTTTACGTGTACACCACTAATAATTCACAAATATCTATTTTACAGCAGCCTACAGAAAAGTTTAATTAATTTTTAATCATAAGTTAAGTGAATAATACATCAGAGTAGAATCATCTTCACTTTTATTCAGTTGGCAATCAGTGTCCGTAGTACGGTATGTGCTTTGCACCTTCGAAGTGCAAACTACTTCTACAAGACTGGCAGGATCCCAGTCCTGTACACACCCGGGATGGTGAACAGATAGAAGTAGTCGAGAATGTCGTGTATCTAGGTAGTTGGTAATGGCGTGAGTGACGAGGTCAATTCACGTATAGTGGAAGTCGGAGTGGCTCATGCCAATCTGGGCCATCTTTGGCGCCTTCGTGATGTCAGTCTGGCTGTAAAAGGTCGGATCTACAACGCGTCGGTGATAGCAGTTTCGCTCTATGCTTGTGAAACCCAGCCTATCCGAGTTGAGGATGTTAGACGACTCTCTGTGTTCGATCATCGTTGTCTCTGGAGGATTGCTGACATCCAGTGGTAACACCATGTTAGTAATGCAGGACAAGTTAGTGACTTCAAGGACTGGTGCCACGTTTTGGTTTGGCCGCCCTTAACTTTCTCCCAACCATACTCAACACCAGTCAATATTGCGCGTCGTGGGCACAACCGCTAATATCTCTATTATTAACTAGTTAACAACGATACAAGTGTCATACATCATTCGAGAAAATGTTAGTCCATTAATCAACATTAACTTAAAACTTATTACTTCAAACACTAATTTAAATAGTGAAAACGAAACGGATTGATGTAGGACAAAATTTCAATCACATAGTACACAATATTAAAAGTATGGAGATAAACATCTGAAAGGATAAATAGGATCATTTTTAAATGGTTGTACGTATAACAGCTTTTTCTTCGAAAAAACACGACTTAAAGACATATACAGTATAGAAAGCGTGGAACTTGTTTACATATTTTCAACGTTAAGTTAAAACATGTACAAAGAGAGTTAAACCTGTTTTCACGACATTATTATATTGTTCCATCAATAAGGTAAACATAATCTACATGAAGTTCCATCTTGCATGAATCATACCATTGAATTCGATTGACTGATTCTGCGTACAAACTACAAAGTATTAATATTTTGTGGAAATACAAAATATATGGGAGTAAATCAAGGGTGATAAAATAGATTAGAAATAGTACGCACGGACCGAAGCAAAGCACGACACGTGTCTCATGCAAAAAGAAATGACAATTTTCAGATGATTGAAGAGATACATTGCTAAACAACAGTGAACTATTGAACAGTTCCCATTTTGAGACATATCTAGTAATGTCAGAAGCTAATTAAACGAATCGCAGTATGCTAATGGATCTTTACCCAACAGAGATATCCGTGGGTCAGCAGAAATACATCACGGAATGATTGTTTGTTCCTCACTAAATACGAGATCCAACAAATAACGCTCCGCATAGAAGTCACTGAAAGGTATGTGTGTTCAAACCATTTTATCAATATTTAGATTTATTAGATCGCGATTTCAACGATGTGAAGAGTTTCAGTGCATCGAAAGCACAGCCTAGGCAGAACACACCGAAAGATGCAAATGGACGACTAAAGGCTAAGTATATATATTATGTAAATGCTTTGTAACTTCTCACATTAAAAATACATTCTTCCTGCCTATTAACAAGTTTTACACAGGTATTTTGTATCTTCTAACTGAAAATTACTTTCGTAAGACTGTCAGGACCTTGTTTCTAAACTCATTCTTCGTGATGACCCGTTAGAAGTAATCAAATATATGTGTATCTTGGTTGTTGTGGTGGTGATATGACAGATGAGATCGACCTAGATAGAATAATGCCATCTTGATGTTAGTCTGGCTGTAAAAGGTCAGGTTGGCAACGCGTCAGTGAAACGTGACTTTTTTGAGTTGAGAATGTTCATTGTCTCCCTACTTCTGATCAACATTACATCCGAAAAATTATTCATACCAGACGCCAACCCCATGTCAGTAATGCTGAGGTTCAGTGATGTGTGTGTCGCGCACTGTGACGATAACTCAATTGGTGTTACTACTTTGAAGCACCTGCTTCGGTGGCTTGACATATGTTCAAAATTTCATTACAGCAACATTCACATTTTGGATTATTTCTCGAGCCTGGGACTGGTAAAAAGGATTGGACATACAAAAAGGAAAGAATATGTACGAGGAGATTTCAGGACTCAGATTCTAGAGAAAGACAAGGAGTGAGTGCACTTTCGTCTTTGCAAACAGTTCTGAGCGATGTCACCTAGTCTCTTACCATCGATTACGATAATCACGTGGACCCCGACTAGATAGTCTCCACTGTTAAGATGTCTCAATCTAATTGTCGATAACAGCCATATTAATAGATGTAGATGAAGTATAGAATAATAATAGTTGTCAACTGACAATGATGAGACAAAATGGATAATTTCAGTGTGACATGATTTTGAACTGCTCGTTAGAGAAGCCCAGGTTAATGACTAAATAGTTAAGTACACATCATATTCCGAAGCTGCTAGGTTTAGCAATCTATTAGGAAAAAAATATTAAGTTTGGACAAAGAGCCTATCTAGTAGTTTTCGATTTTTAGTCGAACTTCAACTAGTCAGCTGAAAATGGAAAATATTATGCTACTTCTAAACGTAGACTTACTCCGTTAATCCCGGGAAGCCATAAGATCCAACCGATTACAGGAACACCATACAAAAATTTGATTGCCACTGGGATAAATTTACTATAAAATTAAAGTGTATATGATCATCATTTGACATAAACAACTTAGTATGTTACGGTTAGTATTGTATTAACACTTGGTACAAAGAAGTTGACAACAACAGGTAAGCAGGAAAGAAAAGTAATAAGTGCTAGCTAGGATCTAGGTAGCACAATATCTTTTGGTGACTAGAAGGCTTGAGAAAATCCCGGAGAGCACAACGAAAATTACTCACAAAAACACTGTGTGAACCTCCAACAGTTACTCCTCGGACTGTGTGGTCACGCTCTTAGGACGACATTACAAGCAATATCAATTCGATTCTTTCTCAGTATTACAAATACGATATCCTTTGTTAATGACGGTTACTAGGATGTGAAAAGTACTCGAAAGCAAAAGTCTTTACTGCTCACCGTAAACTCATTCTCAACCCCTAAATATTTGGTTTATTTGTTATTATCCCTTTTTCCTTCAGTTTTATTTGCTTACGCGAATACGATCAAAGTCAATTAGTTGAATATATAAAATGTTATCCTTGGTCTCCTAAGAAAGGGCCCTAAACTACATATTAGGGCTTCCAACGGTCAGAGTGTCTCATATTGGATAACAGGCTTCATTAATCATACAGGAACCTAGCTAACATGGAGAACCAGTGAGACTCACTCTGTGTACTTGAATATTCGACATTACCTCATATTCTAATGGGTACAGATGTAGCGACATATTAGAAAGTAGAATGGACACTTTTCGACTGGATTCGTCGATAGTAAGAACTCAGGACGGTAAGGATATATACAGTTACCTCTTTGTAGTGATTGCTTGGCCTCTTACTGAAAGTATCTCCAATAAAATAAAAGGTGAGTGCTATTAAAATCTCTTCAAACTTCTAAAAGCCAGATGCCTAGACGTAGCAATTGTAAGGAGCAGTTTCAGAGCCCAAGTAATAATGTTAAGTCAAGCTAAAAGGCTGGCGACTCCTGTCATCAATGCAATGGTAGACAGAATAATCACTACGATCAACTAGTGATGGAGTTTTGATAGAAGACTTTTTGTCTTAAAACGCGTGTCTGGACCTCGCTCATCGTCTATTGAGGACAAATTTATGCTTTAATGAACGCAGAAATATCGCATAAGGAGAACCCCAGCAAACTCAGTTTGAAGGTACGAATTTCAAGGACATGCTTGAGAAAACTAACTAAACACTTAAAGTAGCATGAAAAGGATGGTTATCCTTAAGAAACCCGACATGATCTCAAAACAGTTGTATGAACAGCATTGAGATTTGCTAGCGATCTAAATCAAAAGACTGGGGAAAGATAAAGTCCAGTAGTCTCTAGTAAATATGTTTGGAAACCCATCTAAACAATTGACAAAAATTAACAAAACGCCAGGTCAGTGAACGTGAGAAGCGGTAGGGAATATAACCAAATAGAAAAGAGCAGCGAAAAACGAAACTAGACAGTTGACGCGACACCTCAGAGACAAAGATCAGAAGGTTGACGAAAAGTTTAAGTATCATGAAATGAGATGAAACCGTGATTTATTCAGACCATATGACTAGGATGACGGCCAAAATAAATAGGGGGAAAGTTTGATTAACTATCATTTGACCATCAGTCATTAACAGTCTATACGTGAGATCTACATAAAGGGTTTAACACTTAACGAAGGGAAAAAGCCATTACCTAATCTTAGGCAAGAGGAATAAGCAGGGTATAATGAATTGGCTACAGAGGATTTTGATCATATTGGTAGGGCTGATTAGGATATTGAGTGCAGCTTGTAATCTGTGAGACCGAAGATTTCACTCTGAACAAATGATTCTAGCAGTTTTACCGATGGAAACTTACTGTGTTTGTATAGACTTCTATGGGGTAACTTAACAATGTCCGTCTATCAGCAGATTAACAGCTTAGTCATGTTAACCTCAATATCTGAGGTGGCTTTCGTGAATTCTAATATCGAATAGAAAACGAATTAATCCACTGACATGACATTGATTTAACCTCTCTAACAAAAGTAGAGCTTTGCACAAATGCTTCAGCTTTACTGCCACTGCTCAACGACTAATAATTCTTATATATATTTGACCCCATTTTATAGTCTGAATTAGGCGAACAGGATTAGTTACATAATAGCAAGAGTTCACCATAGTTCCACGACTTTTCTCCACCTAAACAGCCCGAAACTCGAAAGCAATTTTTCAAAGTACATAAACATACTAAGCGACCTGAATGCGAGGTTCAGTCAATGACAATAGAAAGTAACAAAATGAATGAATAGTAGAAAGTTGAAAATAATGATACGCCTATGGCCTTTGCCAACTAACGTCACTTAGACACTCTCTATTATGTCAAACAGATTAGGAGTAACGTTAGGTGTTTAATTTCCCTAAATCTTGCAACTAAACAAGAAATGACTAAATAATTTAAGGAATCGAAGGTTTAGATGGCTACATTAGATTGAGTCTTTATACGTGTTTAAGCTTAAATATAAAGCTAACAAGCACCACCAGCTATAAAATAAGTTTTTGATCAAAAATTTGTTCATTGCAAAATCTAATTGTCGATCGTAATAAGAAAAAACGCGAAAAACTCAAAACTTGGAGATTATTTCCCGCACTATTACCTGAATAAATTTATCATTCCATAAATTTCCAACAGCATTCCTATGAAAGGGAAGCCAAAGAGGACAACGGATATGCCCCCGAAGAAGAAAACTGCTCCTTTCAAACTCGTACGGCGAAAAAAGAATGTGCAAGCCTTCTGCAATCCAATAAGACATCCTATTCCGCCTAAGAAAAGAACCTTGGAGGAGCACTCTATAATTTTATTGAACACTTACATTACCTAGAGCCAATAGAGCACCGTCGAAGAAAAATAGAACACCAAGACAAAGAAAACCCACTCCAAAAGCAAGCAAACCTAGGCCGATCTCTAAGAATAAATAAAAATGATGATAAAACTACTCTGAAAATCTGAAGAGTTATTATAACCCAGCATTCTAAACGAACCGAAGAAATGCTCAGTCCGTTTACAAAACTGAACGTGGATATAGCCTCTAAGAGGCCGCTCCAATCAACTCAACCTTGAAAACATATAAGGTCTCCTGCAAAACAAATGGTTTATTCCTTGAGAACAAGTTAGCTCTGTTCGGATAATTTACTTAATGAAGCTTGACAAAAGACGGCTTTCTGAAAAGAAGTAAACAAATAAAAGATAGACGTCATTATGACCGTTCAAACAGCAGGTCAACTCGTATTTTTTCAACTAATGAGTATGACTTTATAAATGAGGATGGATCCTGTCTCTCAGTAGAATCCAAGATTCGCGTTTCTTCTCATTTAAGATCTATCAGATGAATGTACCTGCGTCTCAGAGTTAATCCTAATTCTGGGACTCGAATCCATTACCGTTTGCTTAATTCACTTAGCTACTGAGTCCTGATATCCTCCTGCTTGTGTAATTGGGTGAGGTTTAAATTCACGTGGTGTTGTTTGTTTTCATCTTCCAATTGTTGTTTAAGACTGCAACTGATCAGTCTCTTGTTGACATTTATGCACCCTGTGTGGATTGCCTCGATATTATCTCAAGGACTAAGTAGATAAGGCGATGGCGTTTGAAGCGAACGGTGCGGGGTCCGATTCTCAGAGTGAACGTCAGCTCTAAGATGCATTTACATCCAGCTGAAGAGTCTCAAATAGGGTGAAACGCGACTCCTGAATTCCACTGCGAGCCACCACCAATCTTCGCCAATAAAGCTTGTGATTCATGACATCGATGTGATACGCACAGGATTCACAATTGCCGACAGGTGACTCACCAATTGCAGTCCTAAGCAAAAACAGGGAATACATAAAAACCAACACCAAGTGAAGGCACTTGATATAGCTTTGTTAAGCAGTTTTCTTTGTGATATTTCAATCATATAACAAGCCATGAGATTTTGGAATTTACTAATCAGCCCTTTATTTTTTCGGAAAATTATTATGAAGAATAAAACTATAAGAACTGCATTACAAGACATCCAATATCGGGGTAAATTGTCGAAAATATTGATCTTAAATAGATCTGAAATTCCAACGTTTAAATACTCTAAATATGTATGCAGATCAAAGCCTTGTAATATAAATCTCCCATAAGTGGAATATTCAATTTACTACGGTCAACTAATTATTCAAAATAGTAAGCGTTAAACGTACGTAAAAGTAAGACATCACGATAACCGTTCAAACAACAGGTCACATCGTACTTTCCAAACTAATAATTATAGCTATGTTAAATAGATTTCTGTGCGTTGTTTGGAAGTTGAAACCACTGCTGGTGTGATATCTGAGTTACGAATCTTCGTAGACAAACACACAGAACAGCAAAACATGAATTTCATCTTCCTCAGTACACGTCTGAACACAAGACTCAGGCAAAGATGAATCCTTATCAGTACACCTTTACACTACAAAATAACATCACAGAGTACCAATTAAGGATACCACAAATAATCCACTTTGCAGGTACTATTGAAAACACAGTAGACTTACTGAGCCTCGAGAAACATTGGCACACACGATTGAACACGTTGAAATTCGTGGTTTATGCCATCCACCACATCAGTTGTCGGTAATGTGAAAGTTAAATAAGTGGCGCCACTCAAATTGACAGTCACCAATCGATCACCCCACAACCATGAATCATCATAGTGCGGTACAATACAAGCTCCACGATCTGATTTATACTCCAGGTTGCACAACTCTACTGGGAAAAATTCAGGGCAAAGAGATTTGCTTTCTTTAATCAAATCATTGTAACGTGTTATGAGGAACCTAGAATATGCTGGCAGACCATCAAATCCTCCAATCTGCACCTTCTGTCGTTTGAAATTCACTTTTGGTCCATAATCCTAAAACAACATTTGGCAACAAACTCATATGAATAGACTGAATGTCAACATTTCAATGCAGTAACATCACACTAAGAAAAATATTGACAACATTGTTGGCTGAAACATAGCAGAACCTGTTGCGTGAACCCATCGACTTAATTAGCTGGCTTCGGAACCACAGACAGAGAGGAGATTAATAACGACAAAATGACACAATGAAGAGGTGATATGAAGAACAGATGTAATTGTCAGAAGACGTGAAGAATTAACACTAATAAATATTCTGTTGAAGAGTAAGAACACAAAATTATCCTTCACCTTTATTACTTGCGAAATGCAAGAACCAATCAACTATGTTGATCGAGAAGGCATTGGAGTAGGAGTACATCAGAAGGAAGCTAAGAACAGTCTAACTGATCTGTACAAGCATTCACTGTTTGTGATTAGAAAAGCGCACTGAAGAAGTATGTAGAAATCCCGAAGTCGTTTTATCCACAGACAACTGGTCGGATCACAGCTCAAGTCGAACTGTCAACTTCAAGTGTTCATCAAGCTTACTTACTATCCCATTTCTTGAAAACCCATTTCGTAAGAGATGACCTCTTACAAGTCTCAATTTCTTCATGAAACTTTTGAATGATTGACCTCGTTTCTGAAAATGAAACAACCAACATGAATGGCACAGATGGAACAACACAATGGATTGAAGACACTGACTCAATTCATAGTTGTTTGAAGACCATGAGCAATACCGTAGGCATCTTTCGGATGCGATTTTCTTTCTAACAACAGGATGTTGCTTCACGATTGGCCTGTGTTATTGCCAGACTGAAGATGTGGCACTACAGTAGTTGCGTCGATCACTTCAGTAGGACGTTTTATCAACCTGAGTGGATTGGCGTCTGACCAATTCTACAAATCGATCTAGAAATCCCACTTGGCTTTGAGGAATCGCGTCACTTGTGGCGTAAGCAAAATATCCGGCTACAAACGAATGGACGAGTCTGTTGAGCAGGAATCCAATGTGAGGAACATGGTTCATGAAAGTAGAAGACATGTGCAAACCGCAGACTGCGATCACAAGTGTTGGAATCACAGAGTAAGCAGTATTTAGGTTGCGAATAGGGTACTAGACAAAGATGGTAAAATCGGCTAACGAGACTGTGAATTCTCGTCACGTGAGGTGGCTGGGAGCTGTATTAGTTATGTTCAACAACCACTTACTTCGATGTGCAACGTTGTTAAGGGCCGTTTAACTAATCTGTACAGTCATCCACTGTTCATCTCATCTATGTTGGTCTGTGTAGATTACCTGGTTGTGGCCCCTACAATAACTGTCTTTGGTGATTGGGTGACATGGCTCAGAATTTGCAGTCACAGTTAGATAGACGCACTCATCGTTTATTTTCCCCCAGACTCCTAGTTTCAGTATGCGTTCTTGCATACCGTTCCATTCTCTCTACTCGGACCACATTGCGAATATTTGTTGCAGTGTCATTTAACTTGTCACCTTCATCTTTTTTTCACCCAAGTGGTACTAATAACATTCACCATAGGGCTGCATCACTAAGGGTCGCTCCACGGCCTTGGGAATTTTACATTAGGGCTAATGCCTCAGGAAGTTGTCTTTTACCACCTACTTCGATTTGAGCGATCAGGCAGTACCACAGTCTTCAAGTGATTTGTGCGACGCATATATTTTAGGTGCCTACTTTTAACAATGTTTGTATTTAAATAAAGAAATGAACCATATATCAGCTCAGTGTCTTCGGTTGAATGTAATCAACTTGAACAGTTACCTGTATATTAAAGATACAACAGTTACATACTAATAAAGTATGTTTTCTGTAACCCTAATGAACTACTGTTTTACGGAATATTTTGCAAGGTAAGGGTAATCATTTGATTCATTGAAACTTGACTTACTTGTTTTCCGACGAACTGGCGAAGTACCTCTCTAGCTTCAAACACATAAGGTATGTCGTAAAGCGGACGAATACGACCACGTTGGACAGAAGAATCGTCTTCCTTGCTGCTGGTCTGTGGTCGTGGAGCTCTTATGCTGGATAGAAAGAATTTATGGACACCATCTGAACATTTGATAGAGACGTTATCACCGTTTCCGACTTCACATATCTGAAAAAAACAATACACATAGATCCAAGTCTTTTCAGCTAAGAACAGTGAGTCCTAAGTACTAAAATTAAGTCCAACCTGAAAGAGGCTCCGAAATAACATGTTCACAATACCATAGTTTGAAATGACATGACAGAACTGACATCGGTGCAGTAATTTTTTCACCAGAATACACAGATAGTTAAGGTCAGCACAATTTTCATGGTTAAAAAGAACGATTGACAGCCTAAGTGTTATTTACTTAAACTCGTAATCTACATCGCCATGTGCAAAAATATCCTAAAACGAAGGGGAGAATATGACATCGCACGAAGATGGCTGAGGTGCCAAGAGGGAACCAAAATAACGTTATCCCTATAGCCAAGGTCCATTTAGCTTCAGATTACTCTCAGTAGATACACACAAATCAAATTATCTGTGTGGCGCATATATTTGGTGCCCACTTTCACCAATATGTGTCCAAATAAATAAAATAACAAATAAAGTTGGACGAGCACTCACAATTCCACTGAATATTTTCCCTGGAACAACTGTTTGAAGACTGTCTGCATGTACTTCCGTTGTTTGTGTGGGCTGGTAGTTTTCAAACACGCGTAGTCGCTTTTCTTTCGCAAGTCTTTCAGCTATTTTATAGCTTCGGCAGCACCTGGGACGCTTACTAAGTTTAGATTCCAATCAATACAGTGAGCAAGACCATGACGCAGCAACAACTCAGCTATATTTCCATTTGGGTGGAGGATGCTTCCGACGAAAGTTTGATTAAATACGGATTCCAACAGTATAGTAACGTCTCTCTGTAGCAGTCTGGATTCGGTAAAGAATAGCGCATCGAGACCCCACGCGTCGGGAACCTATAAACCATGAAACAACGATATGCTAACTCACAATTTTCCATCCTCATAACGTATCGATGGCGATTTAATTCCTGACATTGTGACAGTAACGTATACAAATGTATTTGGCTTTTCATTAAGGATTCAGGTAGAATGAAGACTTGTACAGAACAACCATCTCGAACATTTCGACAACAGCTTTAAGTGGTCGGTTTTTGTAGCTCTCAAAGAAGCTGCGAGTATTCTCGACTGACCAAAGGATTTCTCTTGTAACAGGAGATTGGGAGACCAACGACCCTTACCAAGTGACTTTGCTGTCTTGAGCGGTTCTAGTTGCTTTTAATCGATCTACTGATAAACGTTTACATGAGTTAAGCTTCTATCTGTCGATGAGGCTGTTTCACTCCTGTTTGTTTGTGTGTTTAGGTAGTCGTTCGAATCGCGTTATTCTTAAGAGTGTAGACATGCAAGGAAGCTTAAATTCAAACTGGTGTCCACGGTCTGTAGTGATAGTTGAAAGACAGACGAATTTTGCCATACATCGTTGGACGAAGGCAGGTCCCACTGCTTCAGCAGTAATGCATTTGATATGTACTACTTTTAGCCATCATGTGAAGCAATCTACACAGGTTAAGAAATAAGAGTATGCATTTCAATCTAGTAAAGGTTCTACCAAATCCAGATGAACATGATCAATACGAGCATCGGAGGTTTTGCAAGAGACTAAGAGACATTTGTTTTGTCTAATTACCTAAGACTTCCAGTATTATACAAAAGAGTGCACCCGCTTACTCACGTCATAATTCATGTGAGGTCGGCGTAATAGTTCTGCGATGCGCTTGATGGTTGCTTGAACATCTGTGTAAGAACGATTGTGCAACGTATTAAAGATGTTGCGTTGATAAATTTTCGTCACGGCTGGACGATCCTCACCTATAGATGAACCACATAGTAAACTCTCCTTACTCGCTCTAATCTGTTTGATCTACAGTTTCAGGGTTGTCTAAGATAACTCGTGCTGAATATATGTGTCTTCATTTTGAAGCTGGGCGAGTTCTAGAAGTTCCACCTCATAAAAACTGTTCAAGGAATTTATAAAGATAAGGTGCCTGCCACTACTTTTTTCACCCTAGAAATGTGTTGTATACCTGAAGTAAATCGCGAAGTACAGCTGAGTTGTCACGACTCAAGAGGGTAATACTTGTTTGTAGACGAGCTTAGTGGGAGGTTGAGAGATTTATGGTCAGTGAACGGAGTGAATTTTCGAACTGCCACAGAATCCTGAAAGTGCAGCACAGCACAATGAAGGCTAGGAGTCCCTACCAAATGTTTTATACCTCGGTCCAGTGTCTCGCAACTTTCCTCAGAAGAATGTTAAATGTTGCCAGGTGTAGTTTAGCCATTGTTATGTAACTCCTCTGGTCTCCGAGTCGGATGCTTCCGTGATGATAGTAGTAGCACTTTAATGTCCTGGTGTACGATCACAGTTGCTCTCGAGATAATTTTCTTGGCTGTGAAGAGTAACGTTTTCGTGTTGTCGTTCAAATGGATGTTTTCCGCATTTCCACGAAGTTGGTCTGTTGAGAATCTTATGAGGGACGCACAGTTCAGTGTGAAGCATCGATGAAAATTTACCAGGTCATCAAACCTGCGTGATTGCTTGACTGGGGTCGGTTCCGAATTACCAGAATGATTTCCACCTTGCTTTTCAGAGGTCAGATGCCTTCAGTATCAATAATTTGTCCGAGAATATCAATGAAGTCGGTTCCAATTTGACATTCCTGGGTGTTTACAGTCATGCTGTGTTTGTGCAGTAGTTCAGAAACTTGGTTTAGATGCTGGAGATGAGTTCTGTGTCTGGACTTGCGGTCGAACAGTCACATACATATGCACATACAAATCTGAGACCTTGAAGTACTTCGTCGACAAATCTCTGGAATGTTTGTGCAATATTACTTAGGCCGGAAAGCATTTGCGAAAGTTCGTGAGGTGATAGCGGCTTTAGGAGTGTCATTGACTGTCATAAGAATTTCGTTATGTGCATTAATCAGATTGGTTCTAGAGATACCGACTGTCCTTTTTAAGATAGCTGTCAAATCGTGAATGTGAGGCAACGGATAACGAACGTGAGTGGTATTCGCATTCAGTAGCCAAGTGTCATCAGCCGGACGTAATCATTGCTGCCCTTTTTAAGGACCATATACAGAGAGATGCCCATGGGCTGTCTGATGGCTGAATAATTCCCAAATCTGTCATGTGCTGGAACACGTCTGTGGCCGACCCTAGGTTTTCGGGAGCTATTCGGTGCGGTTTCGAGAATATAGGTTGTCCTGTAGTCGTGATGTGATATTCAACATCGCCGGTCACATAAGATAACTTTAGTGGCGTATGGTATTGTTCAAGGTGCTTACTAAGTATCAGTTGATAGAATGGGTCGATTATGTGCTTAACAGTGAGTGGAAATAATCTAGAATCAGAGGATCAGTTCACACAAACAAATACTTTAGTATTACCATCTACTAACGTCCGTTAGCATGTGTCGATTATTAGATTACAGTGTTGTAGCAGGTCTATACCAATGATTGTCTTAGAAACATCTGCAACAACGAAAGTCAAGTGCATGAGTTTGTGTAAACCCATGTTAGTATACACATATCGCTTACTGTAAGTAGCAATCGGCTTCCCATTTGCTGGTTCGTACAGTCAATCGTAAGGATTCTCAGGAAGAACATCAACAACTGCACCAGAGTTTACGAGATAGCGAAATGTTTTTGTCACGTCAGTGATGCCTAACAGACAACTGTGTGCTCTGCTTACGGTCGCCGTTAGCGTTGCAGTCGGGGACGTTTCCCGAGAGGGTTTACGTGATGGACGATGCGGGAAATTGTGAGGTTTTCTGCAATTTCTAGGGAGTCTACCATACTTATTGCTATGCAAACACTAATAAGGATAATCTGTTCCTCGTAGACCAGTTACAGATCTTTTTCGTGACGAGCTTCTTTGAGGAGTTCGGGGACGTTTACTGTTATGATGGATATGAAAAAACGAGTAAGAATATGATAGTGGTCTGTAACACGTTTTGTGCTGTTTGAGTCTTCCCCTTGCGCAATACATTTCAAACAATCAGATCACACATATACTTGTTAAAAACATTTTTATATGAAAATTAAAAGGTCAGCTGGACAGGTTAAAGGTAAGCCATAACAGAGAAAAAATATTAAAGCACACAAAAATAATGTGATTGCCACTCTGGATAATAAATCAGTATTACCAGGGTAGGTTAAGTGTAAGGACGAATTGTTTTTGAACACACAAAATGTTTTCGATTTCCGTATAGCCAAGGCTTCAATAATCCTTAGTATACGTCCTTGACGGCTTTTGTGTAACATTACAAATGCTGATTTGATGTCAACCTTATGACCAGTCTCGATCAAATGTTTCTCTTCTGTTATGACGGGATAAGATTGATTTATTCATTACGATTTTTATTCCGTTTAATTCAATTCGATGATCACTCGGTATAGTACTTGTTTCGTTTACCCTTATGACATTCTATTCTATATAACATAAGACATTCTTATATGAATTACTCTTCACATTTGTGATTTATTCTAATTATTAACCAAAAATGGGTGTACAAACCAATATATAATTGAGTGTATTTCCGAATAGACTGGTCGGGATTGCTTGTGTTATAACGTGAAAATGATGCTGCGGATTAAGGGTAGGGAATTATTGATCGGACCAAAGACGCACAAACACGTAGAACGACCTAGGGTTCTGATTGGTCTCGCTCCCCTATCTAACCCAGCCAGTTGAGTCCAGAACACAAGTCACAGCCTCGGAGATATGAATCATTGTATTTCAAACATACTTTGTTTATATACCAGTCAAGCAGACCACAACGTCCCATAAAATAGAAAATAACATTGTACAATAATGGCCAGTAGGAAAATGACACGTTAAACAAATATTCACCAATAAGATGATACCATTTCATGTCCAAGGATAACATTAGGCTTAACAGGATAATTCTTGGGATATTTTCCTGAATATCCCAACACCTCCCTTTTTTGGAGATCCGGAGTTGATGTCCGGATTTTAAATTTTTTTCCGCGTCCATCCTCCCCCGCGAAATAATGTTGGGTCTTCATAAACCCAAATTACAATTAATTTGATTGTATTTAAAACATATTGCACAGGGAATCCAGTAAAATCGATCAGATATTGAGGATAAACGCCATCCAATTCGAAGTCATCAGGGTTTAAATCTTTAGTAAGTAGTGGATCATTATGATAATCGGCGTCCAACAAAACTGTGCCAGGTTCTTGGTTATTATTTGATGCGTGGAACACATTTTCTGGCAAAACAATGAGATCTTCTCGTGAGCTGGATATGTTACTGTCTGCACATGCTGTTTCGGGGATGATGGAGTTTGACTCCATTACCGGGCATGTTTCTGGAATAGAAAGTACTGGACCACTGGGCGCATCATGGATGACTGTTTCGTTTGAAGTACAGTTCATCGAGGATTCATGGAGGCTGCTGTCATTTTCCAGCTCACTGTGTATTTGAGATATCAATCCATCCACTTCCGTCGCGTCTTCATAGCATGAGTGATTTAGCAGCTGCGTGCGGAATTTGACTAATAAGTCCAAATGTCGTTCAAAGAGCAGCTGTAATCGATCGGAAGGGAGAGTCATTTTTTTGAATCAGCACCTGTGATGAAAATTACTGTATGACTAATGTCCAATGTGGTTCAAGGACACTGATGACAATCTGGATACTGATTGGTTGAATAATTAAACTGGATTTCGTCCAATTACAGAATGACTTTGGATTGTATCTTTTCTTCACCCCGTCGCCAATTGTTATAACGTGAAAATGATGCTGCGGATTAAGGGTAGGGAATTATTGATCGGACCAAAGACGCACAAACACGTAGAACGACCTAGGGTTCTGATTGGTCTCGCTCCCCTATCTAACCCAGCCAGTTGAGTCCAGAACACAAGTGACAGCCTCGGAGATATGAATCATTGTATTTCAAACATACTTTGTTTATATACCAGTCAAGCAGACCACAACGTCCCATAAAATAGAAAATAACATTGTACAATAATGGCCAGTAGGAAAATGACACGTTAAACAAATATTCACCAATAAGATGATACCATTTCATGTCCAAGGATAACATTAGGCTTAACAGGATAATTCTTGGGATATTTTCCTGAATATCCCAACAGCTTGTGCTTCTGGTTGCTTGCAGAATATATTTCCCCGTTTTAATCTTGGACTTCTCTCTCTTGTTAGCGGTGTTGGGACGCATCAGAATAGCTAGCTTATTAGTTTTTGGTCACAGAGTTTTGTTGCGTTCACAGACTAGATGAACTCGTATTCGCTTGAAACATAGCAAACATGGTTTTTCCTTTGACATGATGAACCTCAGCGTCGAGGGTTATTTTGATCTCCGGTATCCGGTCGATAGATGCAGCCAGCTAACTTACAGCGTTATTTTGAAATGAGATGAGGAGTACATGCGCCTGTTAGGGAAGCTAAGACAGAAAGAGCTGTTTAAACAGGTCCTTGTCAAACGTCCATCGGCTGTCTGATTGGAGGTTCAGCAACAATCATGTATTCAAATCGTTAGTATAAACAGTCGAGTGGATCTCCTACAAACTGAAAACATCACTGTCGAATTTACCCAACATTGACAAAGGTTCAAGCCGTCACCATGGACATGATTTAGGAATGTATTCTCATTGGTTGCAACTTGTGTTCTCTCTCGTACTCACATGAGCATCACTCAGTTATTATCATCTTGTAGGGATTTATTTATCCGGAAGCATTGTACAACACCATAGTGTCTAGATTTGCAGCACATAGGCTTGGCTGATCTCAACATTTCCTAATCACTATATTAGTAACAATTCGTTTTCTAACTTATGCGAAACTCAATACTTGCAACTAACTTGTATGCACCACCGGCCGGTAGATATGAATATAAATAAAATTTAGTCTAGAGCATGTCTCTCACTAATGCACCCATGTTTATCGAGTTTCTATTAGCTATCTGTTCAAAATGCACACAACTGTCATTATTTTCACGTGGAAGAACTTTCGATAACTATTCATATGTATTAGTAGTATTACTGAATTTTATGAGGTCGATGAAATCTCGCAACTAAGTAAACCGTATAAAACATGAAAAATTGTCTGGAACACTGGTTAGAATTTTTTTCCATGGCTATGCTTTTGTTCTTTCAGTTAGCCTACTAATACAGAAGCAATTGGAAATCAACTCATACGGACAGTTTACTGGCATGATCGTTAGCTGACTTTATGATTTAAGCCAAAAATAATACCAGTATTAACAGTTGTTCTTATATTTCTAAACACAAAATACGTGAACTACCTACAAGCTATTAGCCAAAGGCTAATACTACGCATCTTAAGGAGACTTATTAAAATATACCTACGCGGAACCATTCTTAGTTATTATAATCCCACTTTGTCCGGCTCAAATAATTTTGACCTAAATTTACATTTTGCGCACGTCAATAATTAAACCACTTCTTTTCTGGTTTATCTTTGAGCTTATCAATACCCGGTAGATTCTTATTATTCCTGGTAACCTCCGGCGTGCGACAATCATACTTGATTTGGTATCGAACCAACGCCACGTTGATTCTGGTCGGAGAGTAGTGTAGTGGTATTGGGCTCTAACCACAGTCCCCAAAGCTATACATGAGATAACTAGGAAAACAGGCTTTCATCGTGTAACACTAAGGGAAGGTCAATAATGACGAACATGAGTGTAACGACCGAACTGCCAGTATTCGGTTTGAACGCAGGACCGACGATCCAAAATGTATTGAAATAGGCCAGACTACGTTCTTCTGTATAGCGCACCAAGTGTTTTTGAGATTCTCGTATTAAATTATGTCAAAATACAAACTCTGTGCTCAATATAAACGGTTCTAATTTAGGAAGTAGAATAAATTATAACAAAAATACAAAATACCTCGAACGGTACAGCCTATGCTATACAGACAGAAGTATCTCTAACGCAAAGTAGCGCGATAAACAGTGAAAGAGACAGTTAATACCAAAGGGCTCGATACCTGAGAATCAATAAAAATATTCCCAACAAGATGTAATCAAATATCTATCTGCAGGGATTCTGGCAATCCTCCCAAGCAGACAGTCAAAGTGTTAATAGCTGTAACACGTGTAATCAGCAGTCAGTGAAAGGCGAAGAGAACCTGAAACTACAACACACACAATTTTAACCAAGCGCTTCACACCAAGAGAGAGAACATGGAAAATTAAAATTCACGGGCTATATACAGGAAAGAAAGCTTGTTTATAAAACAGTCTTATGAGTCATCCTGTAGGTTCAGTGCATGCAGAGCTTGTTCTTCTTCTTCCAAGGCATTTATTCTTGGTCGCCCTGCAATAGAAAGAAAAACAGAATCAATTAACATCACCATATATGGTGATTTTAACCTCGTAACACAGCCACAATCTGGACCACACCGTAATCTTGAGCTTAGTCAAACACGACTTTACTGTAAATAGTCCAGCAACATACAATAGAAAGTTAGGTGACAAAAGATAAGTCTTTAATCAAAATCACATTACAAAAGTTCAGACGAGGAAGACTGAAGTACAAAAGGTTTGGTTAAACGAGGTCTGAACAAAGAATAAAATACACGACAGGAAGAAACAAATAAATGACAGTACTGTTCAACAACAAAGCTGCGGAGGGATTTTGATCGTTCCCTCTCCGTTACAATGGGAACATTCTTCCGAAACGCAATTCAATCGTTGGCATCGCTCAGCCTTGCAGGCGTGGTTATTCTGTATGACTTGTTTTATTCATAATAAATAAGTTCTTCTGTCTCCAGCCTAAATGTGTTCTCCGCCATATATTGGTGACTGTTATGATACGATGAGTCAGTGAAGACAGCAATGTGACTTCCACATAAGATCTTGTAGATTAGGCAGTTCCATCACGACAAATCTGCTATTTTAAGATTAGGTCTATTGTTGTAGCAGTACTAATAATAAAGTAAGCCATAATTCTACAGGTCTCCACATTGAAGGATATCCCTTTTTAAACTTCTATTAAGGTTTTAAAACATCACAAGTAAGCATACTAGGTGTGACGTACCCGTTGAAATTGCGTGGTCTTACTTTCAACACTGTGAGAAGTTGTGCACATGGGTCAGTCACACCGTGCTCATGGAAGTCAGCTTCTGCGTAACAGAAAGAGGCTTCTGTATTATCGGGCAAGAACAGCACTAGCTGAATGGTGAGAGGTGAAAGATGTTTGTTTTCAAGGAATTCGAGTTTCTGTTGCATAATGATGAAGATATTATGTAACAAAGGGCGGGAAAAACTGCAAATAACTATGAATACATTAACTTAATAGGTAAAAATAAAATTTGAAGAAATTTTGTGTAGTGTTTTAACAAGGAACAGACTCACAGTTTTCGGTTTGGTTTGCCAGATCACGTCGGCCTTATCACTAAAGCTTCCACAGCTATTTGGATTTTGACAACGCTTTTACACGTAACAGCTTTATGATTAAACTATTCCACCCCAGTCAAACCAGAAGTCAGAAATGAAGGGGTTCGAAGATATACTTGAAGGATTATCTATATATCTGGAAGCTTTTAATCTAAGCTGGCTAACAGTTGCAAGGGTTGCATGGCATAGAGTACCCACTCGTGATCTGACGCGGGTTAGTGACCAAGCACCTTCAGTAGATGTGTCCAGTGCAACTGATGAGGTCATCATCAGTGTCGAAAAATTACAGAACTATTTATTTCAGGGACTAACCGCCACATGCTAATTAACTTGCGTCATAGTATGGGTGAGCCGCATGAAAGTTGTGGTAGACCTTCAACTCCGAAATCGATAAGGAGGCTTCGTAAGGACAGTGCGCTGTAGACCAAACTGCGACACTTCTGTTTGTTGTTGACCACATGAATGGAAGTACTCACCAACTTCCTTGATTATAAAAAGGTTCGACAATATTATTCAATTATTCGTTCTAGGAGTAATCGTGCCTTGTATCCCGCGTTGAAATAGATACAGAAGTATTAGCATGCTATGATCTACATCACTGTGCAGGCTTGGACAAAAATATCTTCAGAGCATACCGTGATCTGGTATCCTTGGTATGTGTCTTGCAAGTTTAGATCAGCACTTTTTACCCAGTTTTTAATACTTCTATTCACCAAAATTTAAGGTATTGAAATAACGTTTCTTCCTCCACTAAAGGGATAAGAATACTCCGGACACTATATAGTGTCGAGCTGCGAAATCAGTTAGAGTAAAATCAAATTCAAGTCTAGCGAATAGTCGCTTGAGTCATCGGATCATTACCCATTAAAATCTTGAGGACCCGATAGCGAGCATTCAATGCCATTTAACATCCTAAATACTTCTAAGTGTCCTACAAAATACCCACTTATGCTCAGCTTCTTCACAAGCTCAAAGGTAATACTCAGAAACTGAAGGCACGACGCAGAAGAACGAACTGTAGACACAACTTCTACTCCTCAAGAGTTGTGAAATGCTGGAATTCGCTGCCGGCTGAGCTAATCCGAGCGACATCGCAGGAGTCCTTTAAAAGGAAATTCGACCTATTCTTAAGGACCAAGGATAGTATGTTACTATAATTTACCATTTTATTTTACCTCTTTTGTCGTTCATATACTGCGGCACCTGCATGGAGATATTGGTGATTCACTGCTGCTAGACACAGAAGCCCGTTAGGCGAAAGCTTCTTTTATTCTGTCCACAACCTTTTTGAACCATTTGAACTGTATATGGGTCACTACATAGAGAAAAAGGTTGTCAATTGACACAAGAATTAGAAGCCAGATAAGCTTAAGCTTTCTTTCATTCAGTCCATAATCATTTGAAGCTAGCGCGAATGCTTGTTTTACTCGTCACATATGGTCGTGAACTATTCAATTTGTGTGTTGCCACGTGTTTGTTACTAGTATCATAGGAGAGTATCGTATTAACTATGTCTTCTCTCGTGAACAATAGAGAAGAAGCACGACCAGTCGGCACAACCACATATTTCTTGGGGATAGTGAAACAAGTACGTAGCTCATACACTGATTTGTTCATTATAATAACATTATTTTTTTGAGTAGGTCAATAGTTTCTAACATACAAGATGCAATTTGAGGTTTTCTAAATACGGCTATTTCCATTTTATAGGTCTTATCGGGAGATACTATTGTAATACGTGACAGACCCATAAATGGTCCTCCTCCAGAACGAACCATTATTTTGTCCAATATATCATGTGGTCGCGTTGCTCGTAAGCCGTCGACGGGAATTCCCACTGGAACACCAGAAGATCCGTTTGCTTGGGAGGCCAGAGAGTTTGTTCGTACTCTTTTAGTTGGTAAAGAAGTTTGCTATTCTGTCGAAACAGAACAGCCATCTGGTCGCAAATATGGATGTGTGTATGTTGGTATGTTTTAAGCCAGTTTATTTATCCTTACATCAGGGAAAAATATCAGTGGAGAAAATGTTGCTTTGTCCTTAGTGGAACAAGGCTTAGCTGAAGTGAGAAAGCTAAATCCGACAATAGCTGCCAAAAATAAAATTTACCAGCAACTAGTAACCGCTCAAGAACAGGCAAAGTCACTTGGTAAGGGTCGTTGGTCTCCCAATCTCCCTGTTACAAGAGACATCCTTTGGTCAGTCGAGAATACTCGCAGCTTCTTTGAGAGCTACAAAAACCGACCACTTAAAGCTGTTGTCGAAAATGTTCGAGATGGTTGTTCTGTACAAGTCTTCATTCTACCTGAATCCCTTAATGAAAAGCCAAATACATTTGTATACGTTACTGTCACAATGTCAGGAATTAAATCGCCATCGATACGTTATGAGGATGGAAAAATTGTGAGTTAGCATATCGTTGTTTCATGGTTTATAGGTTCCCGACGCGTGGGGTCTCGATGCGCTATTCTTTACCGAATCCAGACTGCTACAGAGAGACGTTACTATACTGTTGGAATCCGTATTTAATCAAACTTTCGTCGGAAGCATCCTCCACCCAAATGGAAATATAGCTGAGTTGTTGCTGCGTCATGGTCTTGCTCACTGTATTGATTGGAATCTAAACTTAGTAAGCGTCCCAGGTGCTGCCGAAGCCTATAAAATAGCTGAAAGACTTGCGAAAGAAAAGCGACTACGCGTGTTTGAAAACTACCAGCCCACACAAACAACGGAAGTACATGCAGACAGTCTTCAAACAGTTGTTCCAGGGAAAATATTCAGTGGAATTGTGAGTGCTCGTCCAACTTTATTTGTTATTTTATTTATTTGGACACATATTGGTGAAAGTGGGCACCAAATATTTATGCGCCACACAGATAATTTGATTTGTGTGTATCTACTGAGAGTAATCTGAAGCTAAATGGACCTTGGCTATAGGGATGTTATTTTGGTTCCCTCTTGGCACCTCAGCCATCTTCGTGCGATGTCATATTCTCCCTTCGTTTTAGGATATTTTTGCACATGGCGATGTAGATTACGAGTTTAAGTAAATATCGACTTAGGCTGTCAATCGTTCTTTTTAACCATGAAAATTGTGCTGACCTTAACTATCTGTGTATTCTGGTGAAAAAATTACTGCACCGATGTCAGTTCTGTCATGTCATTTCAAACTATGGTATTGTGAACATGTTATTTCGGAGCCTCTTTCAGGTTGGACTTAATTTTAGTACTTAGGACTCACTGTTCTTAGCTGAAAAGACTTGGATCTATGTGTATTGTTTTTTTCAGATATGTGAAGTCGGAAACGGTGATAACGTCTCTATCAAATGTTCAGATGGTGTCCATAAATTCTTTCTATCCAGCATAAGAGCTCCACGACCACAGACCACAGCAAGGAAGACGATTCTTCTGTCCAACGTGGTCGTATTCGTCCGCTTTACGACATACCTTATGTGTTTGAAGCTAGAGAGGTACTTCGCCAGTTCGTCGGAAAACAAGTAAGTCAAGTTTCAATGAATCAAATGATTACCCTTACCTTGCAAAATATTCCGTAAAACAGTAGTTCATTAGGGTTACAGAAAACATACTTTATTAGTATGTAACTGTTGTATCTTTAATATACAGGTAACTGTTCAAGTTGATTACATTCAACCGAAGACATCTAATACTGTTGACGAACGTGTTTGTGCTACAGTGCGAGCTGATGATGTCAACCTTGCATTGACCCTAGTTTCAAAAGGTCTGGCCTCTGTAGTGCGTTATCGAAACGCTAATGATTCTCGTTCTGTATTTTACGGTGAACTTCTTGCGGCAGAAGAAAATGCGCAGTCTAAGGGACTCGGAATGTATAGCAAACAAGATCCCCCGATTCATCGTGTTGTCGATCTCACAGGTAATATTTTTTGTATTATTTTGACAACTTCATCCATTTGTTTTCTATACCGTTTGGTTTCCAGCATGTACATTCCAATCATTTCGTTTAAATGAGTAGTTATGAGACAGCTAAAGACGAAACGGTTACTTTTGTCGGTATGTTATCCAAACTATCTTTTTTAGGTCTTCATACAGACAGTCTGACTCGTGATTTGTAATTTCCCTTGTGTTAGTCAGAAGGTTTTTTATTGACTTCATAAACACGACACTTTCAATAACTGATTTTCAGGGAGTTTCCATATTCAAAGTTATTATTTTATTGGTTGCGCAAATGACAATTTTGATTATTTTGGCTGCATACACAATAGGACTGCTTCACCCACTGAGTGACGTCAAAATGCTTTCAGGTGCGTTTCTAATCTCAAGCGCGAAACGTTACTTCAGAACTTGTCTGTACCTATGACATTTCTAACTATATGGAGTGAGGTACTCAATTATGCAAATCACTTTATCAAAATGTGCTTGATTGTTGGTAAAAATAGCAGTTCACTCCAACTCCGCATAGTTGCTTTATAAACACTGACCTGTTAGATGAAACATTTATGGTTAACCACTAACTATTTTGACGCTTAATGCTAGCTAACGTAGAAATTAGATCAGGGGGAAACGGGTAAGGAATCCCATTTTCAGCTAACTGAAGTCACTTAGCTAGATGAAAACTTCCAATTTGGGAATCTGACGCTAATCGTAGTCTATATAATCAATATATATAATTCCATAATTTCTGCCACTCAGTTGCCACTACGGGAACTATATCAACCAATATACTTTTATTTCCTAGAATCAGTGTTTGTTGATTTCCGTCTGTTATTTCCTAAGAGGGCATCTACTCGCGATACTCAATTTACAGTTATCTAAATTTTGTCGCATTATGTAATCTTTAGTCCCAGCAGTTGCTTAAACCTGTATTACACTTTGTTTTTGTAAGTAATTGATAATATTTTCGATGTAATAGGTTTATGTAGTAACAGTCCTTCCCGGTTACCTGAATCAGAATGGACAGAACAGCTTTCAGGAGTGCGACCTATCGGTTCAAAGTTACTAAGACACTTGTTCTTTAGTACCCCTTCTCATGTTTGTTTTATGATTTCGTTTTAAATTATTATTATCTCAATAAGAGGTCGTGTAAAACGATGTGATCGTTTTTAAAATTTTAGGGAATGTAGCTAAATCTAGACAGTTTTTATCTTTTCTACAACGTGCTGAGCGATTGGACGGTGTGGTAGAGTTTGTATTTAGTGCAAGCAGATTCCGTATTTATATACCTCGAGAGACATGCGTAATCACACTGTTGCTTGGAGGTATACAGTGTCCACGCCGGGGAAGGTATGTTCATTTTATCAATGTATACATTTTTAAAAACAATAGTTGAGAAAGTGTAAACGTTAATTTAAATATCTTCTCTCCACCTCAAACGTACGCAGAGTTTAAGTACTGTCACTTGGTCAGTATAGGTCATTTAGCGAAATTGAATATTGTTAATTAAAACCTGGATTGCCTATTAAAAGCCGTCATGTGCCGATCCTATAGAATTTTCTATCATACCCTGGCACTGTATCATAAACTGGCCATCTTTACGCTTTTTCCAACCTGTCCCAGTTTCGAGAAATGATTTACAATGTGGAAGTTGCTGGGATGACGTCCTGAACACACGTACAAGCTACCGGAACTGTTGTTTTATAGCAATCATTTCTAATCTACACTTTTGGGTGGGCTAATGGCTTGCCTTTAACCTAGATCGGTCTGATATTTGGTTTCAACGTAAGCAACAGCCACTTCGCTTACATCGATTCACCTAGAATGCTGAATTTGATGGGCACTGAAATGTAAGGCAAGATTTAAGCAAACCAAATGAGTCCGAAAAAGTGCTCCATCAACAATCGCTATTCAGTCAATCTTTATTCCAGCTTCAGTTCCAGAGAAAGAACATTACGTATGACAACAGCGATGACTGTTACAGGAGTTAGTACTAGTTTATTTTATTTACTTGAACGCATAAATATTGGTACAAAGGAGCACCGAATATATATGCGCCACACGGGTCACTTGATTTGTGCAAATCAAGTTAGTCCTAGCCAAAAATAGATTGCCATCTGCGCAAAACTTCGTTGTCTGACTAACGAGTCCAGTCAACAACAAAAGTAACTTTCCTTTATGCCTAGTCCCCCAACTTGTGTGCTGAAGTCTCCAGTTACTATTGTTACATCTAAACATTTAACTGATGGTGGAGCTCATCAATTTTAGTTACGCTGAAATCTGCCACAATGTAGGCGGAGCCTTGTTTTCCACACTGACTTCTTACTTTTATAAGTTCTTCGCATCTAACAAAACATAAACGACAGTCGATTAGTACTACCTCTTTCCTGGCACTTAGTGCAAAACCAATGCTATCTAAACGACTGAAAATGCTACCGGATACTCAGATAGGTTCATAGTTAACAAAATTTTCGAATCGATGTATGGTGAAAAAAATTCTAGTATTTTTTAAAAATCTGAAATACAGGTCTCAGAGATACAGCAAAGGTTGATATTGATACTTACCAAAGACAACCCAATCTATCTGCTTTTTGATGTTCATATAATTTCGCTCATTTTTCATATGTGACTTTTGTAACTAATAATCGAATAAGTGTACATATCGATATACAAATGAGTGTACTTTCGGCTACTGTCGTGTTTTGAAGGGAATAAATTCTCACTTGTGCCTGTCTTTAGCGTTCTTACTATTGTGAACAGGAGTAGGTTTTTACAACATTTGGTTCCTCAGGGTTCTGGAGCCCATGTTCGCCATTCTTTTTGGTCAAGTTCTTTTCAGTCCCTTAGGTAGACGTTTCTTAACCACTATGCCGGTTTAAGCGCCAGACATCGACTTTTGTCCTTTACCTCCATAAATTACACTCACGCTAGCAAAAGGAACTGAATAGAACTTTCTTGATAGTGGCTGTAGGCGGGTGACTATATGACAACATTCATGAGGGACAACAGACTGTCCTTACTCCCATCTGACCAAAGCATTCAAAGACATTACCCTACTATTCTCTGTTTATTCATACTTTTTAACTACCCTTCACAACTCTAATGTTATACAGTCAAAATAATTCATTGTTATAGTAGGTCATACAATAGTAAGTGATCGTCTACTTATTAAGTTGAGCGATTCCTTAAGTGCTTGCTCATCATTTTTTTCCGTTTCAACAGTCCTATTGCTTATCCGGTTTCCTTTTGTACAGATTTTTTCCCTTAAGATTTGTTGTTACTAACGCTAGAAAATCTATTTTTTCTTTAAATTATTAGAGTGGGTCCAGATGGTGTCGCTTTACCCGATATGCCATTCAGTAACGAGGCTACACGTTTGTTAAGGAATTGTGCATGCATCGTAACGTTGAAATTAAGGTAGAAACAATTGATAGAGTAGGGAATTTCGTTGGCTATCTTTTCGTGGACATTCCTGCTCTGTCTAACAATGGACCAGATATTAACAAGTCAGGCAAGAAAAAGAAAAAAAAGGTTGCCGAAACTACTGTTAAACAAAAAACAAATCTAACTGTCTTACTAATATCTCAAGGTTTCGGTACTGTTCATCGGGCTCCCACAACCGAACGATCACCTCACTATCACGATATGATAAAAGCAGAAGAAGATGCCAAAATCAATCGGTGTGGTCTGTGGTCATCCGATCAGTTCGTAAAGGAATGGGAAGCCGAAGTCCAAAATAATTCAGATCCCACTGCTTTGAGCGGTGCAGAGGACGGTAGTCTTATTCCACTGACTGGTTTCTCAGAATATTTGGACGACTTATCAGAACTACAACTTAATGAAAATAGTGATTCGACAACTGTGATCAATAATGATAATATTAAGGTATGAAGCATGTTCTTTGAATTCTTTTGGATATATATATATATATATATATATATATATATATATATATATATATATATATATATATATACGAATAAGAATTGAAGAGGGAGGTTGACTATGAATACAGTGGTCTTGAGTGCTGTTAGAGGTATGAGGGTGGTTATCATTTCCCCGTTGCCCATACCGTGGAAGGGTTGTTCTGGAGGTGCCTGAAAAGGGAATTGGATTAGAGGTGGTCTTAGTGACCTGGGAGCGTGACCGCAGTGCCCAAGGGACAACTGCTTGAGGTCGGTCACACGCGACCTTTTTATGGGTAATTTTTGTGTTAGCTCCGTACTTGTTGAGACCGTACCGCCGGAGACGGATATCTGTGGGAGAAGGCGAGGTGTGCATTTCTAGGGTCGACCTTTTCTAACCCCACCCCTCCTTGTGGGAAGGCAGCATCGCTGTCATGCTGGTTGTCTGAAGGAAACACCTTACTGCCGTCACACTTCTGTACAGTCAGTAGTACGAATTAGCTTTCGAACCTTGAGGAACGATTTTCCATCCAGTATAGCTCGGTTGCTTCATCACGATAGGCAAGCCCGACCACCATTTCAAGGTAGCAACAACGGTATTATATCCTTATATGCAATTTTTATTTTATATATTAACACCATTGATTTAACTACTTCTATAGACCCAGTGTTCATCTTGCTGTGCTAATGAGGTATGGCAACTTGAACCGATGCATGTATGTGCCTGGTCCTACGTTGTAGCTGACCTGATATATATATATCGGTGCCTAAGTATTAAACATTCATCTGCCTCAAAATAAGATTCTTTTAAAAAATCCATTAACAAATGTTAAACAATTGTATCGTGCATGATATTATATAAATCTAAAGTATGAAACACCACTCTTTAATCATTTTTTATAGCAGTTATCATGGAAACCTGTTCAAATAACCGGGATCTCCAGACCTGCTTCTGGTAGTCAGGGTCTTCGATTCTTCGCTCAACACTTATCAGATGCGTGCACCCTGGTCAAGATTAGTCAAATGTTGAATAGCCAATCATTTCCTTCATTCCCATCAGAATACTACCCTAAAAAAGGTAGTCTGTGTATTGCATGTTTCAGTTTAGATAATTGCTGGTACCGAGCACGTGTTATTCGTAGTTCACCCAAATCTGTTACAGTTCAGTTTATTGACTTTGGTAATGAAGAAGTAATCGATTCAGCTGAGTATTCATCACGTCTTTCTCCTCTTCCATCTGGCCCACTAATGCAACTTCCACCACAAATGAAAGAGTATCGTTTGGCATTTGTTCAACTTCCTCCCGATGCTTCCGATCGTGTGTTTGCGGAGCGTGCTTTCTGCGACCTCGTTGAAAACAAAGAAGTACGTGAAGTGTTTGCACTGGGTTTATCTTTTGTTTTTCGTTTTATAAGACTCTCATTGAAGTACAATGCGTATTAATAACGTCTGCGTACCGCTGGATAAAATCAAAGTATCTAATTCATAACCGAATTACAGATATATGCTTAGTAATTCTTAGATTATGTCTATGTTATTAATTTTGATTCGTTCAGGTGTTTAATCCAGTACACTTCTACACGTGGAGACGGTTGATTATGAATACAGTGGTCTTGAGTGCTGTTAGAGGTATGAGGGTGGTTATCATTTCCCCGTTGCCCATACCGTGGAAGGGTTGTTCTGGAGGTGCCTGAAAAGGGAATTGGATTAGAGGTGGTCTTAGTGACCTGGGAGCGTGACCGCAGTGCCCAAGGGACAACTGCTTGAGGTCGGTCACACGCGACCTTTTTATGGGTAATTTTTGTGTTAGCTCCGTACTTGTTGAGACCGTACCGCCGGAGACGGATATCTGTGGGAGAAGGCGAGGTGTGCATTTCTAGGGTCGACCTTTTCTAACCCCACCCCTCCTTGTGGGAAGGCAGCATCGCTGCCATGCTGGTTGTCTGAAGGAAACACCTTACTGCCGTCACACCTCTGTACAGTCAGTAGTACGAATTCGCCTTCGGACCTTGGGTTTGTTGCTTTTAGTCTTACCGCTCATCAACCGACCTGTCTGACATGGTAGGACCTTGAGGAACGGTTGTTCCATCCAGTATAGCTCGGTTGCTTCATCACGATAGGCAAGCCCGACCACCACGTCAAGGTAGCAACAACGGTCGGGCAACAATTCCAGAATGTTTGGAATGCGCTTCTCTCCTTCTAAATGCAAGTTGTTGCTTCAGGACTGGCCTGCGTCAACACCTGAACTAAGGATAGGGAGTGAAGTAGTCGAACGCGTTGACAACTTCACTTATCTTGGAAGTCTGATCAGCCCTAATGGGTTGGTGTATGACGAAATCTCAGCATGGATTCGAAAAGCTCGCTTGGCTTTTGCCAGCTTACGTCACATATGGCGAATGCGAGATATCTGTCTATCAATAAAAGGACGAGTATACTGCGCGACAGTCTGTTCTGTTTTAATTTACGGCAGCGAAACATGGCCATTAGGAGTAGAAGACACTCGTTAGCTACTAGTATTTGACCACAGATGCTTTAGAAATATTGCTGGGATCACCGGGTAAGTAATAGTGAGGTTAGACGCAGGGTATTGTGTAATGATGGTAAATCAGTTGGTGAGGTTGTTAATCTTCATCGACTGAGATGGTTGGGCCACGTATTACGTATGCCCGAACACCGATTACCACGACGTGCAATGCTAACCGGTGTTCGGGATGGTTGGAAGAAAGTTAGGGGCGGCCAAACCAAAACGTGGCATCAGTGCTTGAAGTCACTAACTTCTAATCTGAGCCATGTTGGTAGATGCAGACTACTTGGTTGGGGTCCGCGTGACTATCGTAACCAATGGTTGGAGACTCTTGGTGACATGGCTCAGAATCGATCACAATGGCGTCGGTGTATACACTCCCTGTCTTCCTTTAAACTAAGAGATTAAAATCACTTCATATCTTTCTTTCTACCAACTAATTCTTTCTTCCTGTACTATATCCTTATATGTAATCTTTCTTTTATAATTACCACCATTGAGGTGACTACTTTTATGAATTCGGTGTTCATCTTGTTGTGTTAATGAGGTATGGCAACTTTGACCGATGCATATATGCCTGGTCCTACGTTGTAGCTGACTGTCTGACTTCTACACGTAGCACGTATAGATCGAAGCGTTATCTGAACACATTTATTTTGCTCATTTATATGCCACTTAGATACATTCCCTGTTAGCTCAGAACGGTTATCGAATCATTCAAATGAAGGCTTATTAGTTGGGACTTGGTTTTCAACTCAGTTTTGAGCACCACTCCACCTTCTGTGATTTTTGAACAGTTGGTTAATATCCCTTGCGCAAAGAGATTTAATCCCTAGCAAACCTGTAGTTGGTCCTTGCGTTTGTTCGCGAAATACAGATTGGATCAAGACATGTTCCGTGCAGGATCGTGTTGGGGTATGCTGATTACCTATTTCTTATCCAACAAGCGCTAATGGATACCTGGAAAAGACTCTAGAATCTCCCTATGTAAAAATTATGAATATACTAACGTTTTTCTTATTGTGATTCCTACTTCCATGCAACCTTCTTGTTTGGAATATAAATACCTTCCTGCTCAATTGTGTTCTGATATGGGTACTTATCGAGTGAATTAGCTTCCAAGAATAAGCAATAAGTTTAGCTGGGACGTTATAGAAATTATAACAGCGTTGTAGTAGTTTAAATTTTTTGACTCATGAAAATTATCTGTTATAACTTTAAGTTGCGGTTGCTTTCTACCCTGTGTTATCGATCGATTACAATGACACGTAAACACGTACGAACGACCTAGAGTCTCGATTGGTCTCGCTTCCCTGTCTAGCCCAGTCAGTTGAGTCCAGAACACAAGTCACAGCCTCGGAGATATGAATCATTATATTTCAAACATACTTTGTTTATATACCAATCAAGCACACCACATCGTACCATAAATAGAAAACAACATTCTGTACAATATACAACAAGTGAACAGATATCGACCAATAGAAAATATCCATTTAAAGTCCAAGGACACCATTGGACTTAACATGATAATTATTGGTCTATTCCTCTGCATCCACAACACCTCCCCTTTTTTTTGAAGATCCGGAGTTGATATCCGGATCTTGAAATTTCTGGGTTCATCCTCCCCCACGAAATAACGTTGGGTCCTCATTACCCAAGTAACAGTTGGTCTATTGGTCTATTCCTCTGCATCCACAACATTATCATTTTTCAAAGATCCTCCCTTCTCGATGCTTTATCTGCATTTCAAAATATGTTTCTGAAAAAGTGGTCTACTCCGTCTTCAGGTAAAACATTCCCATATTTTTCAGGAAATATAAACCAGTAGATTTTGAGTAAACTGTAATGCACCCAAGTCCGCTTGTTCGATTACTTTAGTCTTCTTTTTTTCAACAGTTGAGACTTGCTGTTCAGTACGAATCAGTACCGTGTGGAAACGAATCACTGAAACCTGTCCCAGCAGTGACACTATTGCTACCAGTTGCAGATCTTAAAACATCTGGGTCATCTGTCTGTCCAAACGACATAGACATCAGTGAGTCACTGTTGTCTAATGGTTTGGTCTGTGTTGAACCTATCCAGCCTCAGCTTCTTAAACGACTACCACGCAATCTGCTCCACAAGTATCTAGATGCGCAAGCACTAGCAAAAAAAGAACGTAAAAACATTTGGCGATATGGTGACTTTCGTGCAGATGTGGAACAGCTGTGATATACATTGCACAACAATTAGAACCAAAAATGTGCCTTTAAAATACCAGCTGAATATGAACGACTACCGCCCAACAATAGCATCAACGTTATGCTCTGATTCATTTTGTCTGTTGTTTACTATATGTTGTAAGAGTACACTTCATTGTTGTGTTTGTCTTGGAATTTCAGGTAGCTATTCTTCCTTTTTTTAAAAATGTAAAAAGCAGGTTTACTTTAGTTTGCCAATATCTATGATATAAAACTAATGTTATAAAAACCAGTTTTTGTTAGTAAACTACTTTAATTTCTAACTTTAGTCACTTGTATTTTCGTTTTTCTTGCCAAATGTTTTAAACTATTATATCTGTGGCAATTATGTTAATTATACGAAATTATGCTCCTAAATATTTCTGTACTCAGTAATGTATGTTTACGGTAATAAACTGTGATTTTGTTTTGTATAGTTGCATTTAAATGATCACAATGCGCTACATGCATCTTCATGAAACTTGACAGCTTATTTCCTGACTTTGTGCGACACCCTCTCTAGTGAGTTTTATTGAGTTTGTCATTTGTAATGTTGGCAGTCAGTCGTAAACAACACAGAACTTTGTACTTAAGTTACTGTCACACCACATCATATGGAGATAAAACTGCTTACACAAGTGCCAGTGCATTAGAATTAGTAACAGTATCTGTAGAAGTAAAAAAAGCGTTAAGCGCAAACAGTACGATTCGAAGAAAAACGAACTGGCGAAAGTAAAAACAACAATTTTAAGGCACGAAACAAGGAATTTATCTGGTACTGATTCTGACCCATGTCGCTCAACTCTCTAATGATTGATTACAGTGATCGATTGAATACGAACTAGGCAATCTGCATCCACTAATATGGCCTACCTTAACAGTCATGACTAGAGGAAAACTGCGAATTCGCTCTCCATCGGGGTTTATTATGTATTGTGCCTATGCGTGGAGGACGTGACCTAGACACCATATTATTTATTTATTTGGACACAAATATTGGTACAAGAGAGCGCCAAATATATATGCGCCACACAAAACAATGAGAATTTAAAGAGGAAAAAAAGGTACGGAGTGTAAGAAAAAAGAACAATAACGAAGAGATTGGTGTAAGGTAGTGTAGTAATAATAATAGTAATAATGAGGGGACGAAAAGGTAAAATCAGAAGAAATCTTTCAGTTAAGGGAGACACAACCACTTTATGAAGAAAGTAAGAGGTTACAGCAGGATCGCCACTGGCTTCTATTCTGAGCCATAGCCGATAACGTCTCTAGCCACTGTGTTGCACCATCTCTCGGACCCCAACCAGGGAGCCGTGAAGGACCAACAGAAGCCAGTCCTTTGCAGCTTTCTTTCATACCACGACACCATGTTATGCACTGACCACCTCTCCGCTTCTTCCAACCAGTCCGAGTCGGCAAATAATGCACGACGTGGAATTCTATGGGACGAAATTCGTAGAACATGTCCAAGCCACTGAAGTCGGTGTTTCAAGATGGTGACACCAGTTGCATTATCGTCTCTGCCCGAACACACGATGCCGAGCCTCTGCATTACTGACATGGTGTTGCCACTAGTTGTCAACAAACCTTCGGAGACAGAGGATCGAATGCAGAGGGTTGTCTAACATCCTCAACTCGGAGGCCAGGTTTCACAAGCATAGACCAACCGGCCTTTTACAACCAGACTGACATCACGAAAGCGCCAAAGGGGACCGGATTGGCATAAGCCTCTCTGGCTTTCACTATACATGAACTGATCTCGTCACTCACGCCACCACCAGCTACCTAGATACACGACATTCTTGACTACTATTTGCTCACTATCCAGGGTAAGTACAGGATTGGAATCCTGCCAGACTTGTAGAAGTACTTCGCACTTCGAAGATGCAGAGCACATACCATACCCACGGACACTGATTAAGTGCGGATTGCATGACTTGGGCGTTATCGCACAGTAAGACAATATCATCCGCATACTCAAGGTCGAGAAGTCTTTCTCCAGACAACAGATCCACACCGCCATTACTTACATCCACCAGAATGTCGTCGATGGCAAAGTTGAAGAGAAATGGTGAGATTGGGCAACCCTGCCTAACCCCACTGCTCGAATGGAACAATGGAGAGAGGTGGTTGTATGCCCTCACTCTACATGGACACAATAACTAATTTGCGAATTGATAACTAATAATTCAAATATCCATTTAGACCCGAAGGCACATTTTCATTTTCCAAGGCCACCAGGAGCTCGGACGTGATGAGTTCGTAGTTGCATTTATTCTCTACCTTAATTTAAATTTAGAGTTAGGTGTCATTTGATCTCATTTCCTTCGCCTCGAATGTAGTGTTATTTTGTTAATTTCCTCTCTTTGTACGCTTATATAACGTGTCCTTACCTAGAACGATAACTCAACTACGTACATTCCCATTTTAACGTTTATTGGATCATTCGTATCTCATTACATCCATTGCCTCAAATCTAGTACTTACTTCCACAGACAATAGTCGTTAGACTACAAACATATATTCAGTGGAATTTCTACCATTGTTATTTCCTCACAGCTGAAGTGATCATATATCATACATGTACATGTCTCAGCATAATCCATGAAATTCGCATAATTACATTTTAATAAGAGACATTTAGAAGCAATAACCAGTCAACATAAGTTATCAAAAACCAAGTGATCATGCTTACAAGCCTACTTCAATAACTTAAGTTGTAATTTCATAAATAAATAAATGATTAATGACTGAATTATAGTTTGACAAATATTCTATTTTAAAGTCATCGAAATCATTGTTACGTAAGAATTAAATATTTTGTCTAAATGACTACAGCATTTAAAACAGAGTATAATGAAAAATTGAAAATCAACAAAATGATCAAAAACTAATATAAACAACAAATTATATACAGATCCTAATGAGAATGTAACAAGTTAGAATAGAAAGACAGAGTTGAAAAAAACAAACTATTTGAAGAAAGTTATTAGACAACTCAACCTGTACTGTTAGTCTAAATAATCTAGTGAGTGATACAGCACAGCATTATGCATACACACCTCCAAATTTGTATTAACTAAGTTGCCGACGTCGAGCTTTTTGCTTGTCAAAACGTGCTTCCATCTCTTCAAGAATACGTGGTGTATATCTTACTACAAGTTTCACAGTACCTATAATGGAAAGAAGATTATTATTGCAATTTGTTTGATATGATTTAAACTGGAAAAACAATGTATAACAAGTAATTATGAATATACTAAAACTACGCATAATGTGGATTAGAACAAGCATATATAGACGAGTATTCTAGCATTGTGAGAACGTGATGATAATAAGTATATAAACATGAAACTCTGTAATAATGAAAAATCACATGTATTGATAGAGAAAAAACATCTTAAAATCTACGGTACATCACCTTGTGCTAATTTCAAAAGTTCAACAGCTCTTTCATGATGTTCACTCTCCACAGAAATCCCATTTACTGATAGCAATTGATCACCACGTTTTAAACCACCATGACGATCTGCAACACCACCAGGAATAATTCGACTTATGTAAATAGGTGAATTTTGTTCTTTACCACCCATAACATTGAAACCTAGACCTTCATTAGTTTTTGGTAGTTCTATGACACGTGGATGAGCGTGTCCTTCACTTGCAGCAAAAGCTGCGACAGTAGCTTTGGCTGTTGCACTTGCTTTCACCTAATAAGAGTTTAAATAAAATGAAGAATAAAAGTCGGTCAGTTACTACTTAGAACCTAGTATGTATGTAAATCGGTCCACATTGTCATATCTCATTAGCACACAAGATGAAATTGTAAGGTCTTATCACAGAATAGTAGATGTAGTAATAATATCACCGATAATACGAAAGATTAGGCATCGAAGATATCATTCAAGAGAATACAAATTAATGTAATAACGAACTATGAGGAATTCAGATAATAACTTGGGCAGATAGAAAATAGATGCGCCTGCGCTACTACAAACCCTGTCATCCAAAGTCTCGAACCACTGATTACGATAATCAGGCGGACATCACCTAGGTAGTTTACACCGACTAATACGGCTGTCTGGTTGCCAATGACTTTACGGAACGATTCCACATCTTGCTGGGCCCCTTACGTCTATTTATTCAAGCACATAAACGTTGGTACAAGAAGACACCAAATATATATGCGCCACAAATCACTTGATTGGTGTGAGGACTGGGACGCTACCTGGCAGACCAAACAGGAGCGGGTGGTCTTCTTAGGAGACCACCTTTGACGTAAAGGTCTAATCCATAAGGCAGTGAAGCAACGCAGGGAGGTTCAGCCCCACTGGTAGCCGGTGACCAACAATAGGTCCACACGCCATTTGTTTTCTCAGGATTCTAGGGTCTATGTACACCATTGGTTTGAAATCAGGGTTTTCCAACATCCCTGAGTGGACCCTCCGTATCCACCAACCCGGTTAAGGCATCGGACATTCGCTTTTCGCCCTCTCAGTATGGGGCGGGTATGCCGGAACGAGTCCAACGACGAGGGAATAAAATGTAAAAGGTCTCTCTTATGAAGACAAACTAACACAACTAAATTTATTTCCGTGATCTTGCTGTAGAATACGGAGTAATATAATATTGGCTTATCCCATAATGAACGATGACCCTGACATTAATGTCTTATCTTTTCCTCCCGTCTAGGACTGATCATTTGAAGGACATTCGAAGAAAGTTCAAAAACCGAGATCAAATCGTCTTACGTCTGGAGTTTCGTTTCTCGCACCGAGTAGTGAATTACTGGAATTCTCTAGCGGAACACGTAATATCAGCACCTCTTGCTGATGTATTCAAAACGAGATTGGACCTCTACAGTGTTACAAACTGCAAGGATTAATGTAGGTGGTATACCTCCCACCCTTATCACTGAAGACTGAATACATTCATAGAAGCAGTTACTTGAATGGTAGTAATATGTAAAAGATTGCATATAATTGTATGATACAAGGAGAAGGAACTAGTCCGTAGAAAAGTATAAAGTAATTTTAATCTCATGTTCTAAGGGTACAGTGAGTGTATATACCTAAGCCATTGTGGTGGGTTTTGAGCTATTTCACCTTGTGATTTCAAACTCATTCCATAATCTCCGTGAACTTCAGGCTTGGGCCTTGAGAACATGCAACGACACTTTTCTAGTAGGCTTTTAAAAGCATCTATCCTTTATTGAATAAATCAAGTGGAGACGTTGACAACAATTTCCGCTAGTAGTTTACATGAATGGATTACTCAGTAGCATAAACGACAACATTGAGGCTCAGAAAATTACGTTTGTGTAAAACCCATAATACAACAAAACAATACTAACTTCTTCCGACCCATTAATATCAACAGTTGTATATATATGCTCATAAACTTCACGAATCATGTCGCAAAAGTCTGACTGCAGTATGCGCTGTAGGGCTGCCAACTTTGACGGTTGTATTTCAGGACATCTCTGAAGTATTTCCAACAACTCCAACACTCTATTAATATCTAAAATGTGAATATAATCAATTCACAATATACCTCTCTGCAAACTTAATGACTCCGCCATTTGCTAGTGTCCAATATCCTCTTAACGAACAAGCATAAAAACCCAATGATTTTTTAGACGCGCTTTATATGTTACAATATGTTTTCAGGTTTTCCAGATATTCTAGACACGTAACTGCACTAACTGTAGTGGATAACTAGTTAAAAATATGGTTAAGTGTATATTCAATTATTTGTGTAACCATAAAATAAAGGCCATATTTCTATCTGTTTTCGACATTTAATATGTAATCAAATTTATATTCAATATCAATTGTTTCTCTGTATCAATCAAAAAATTCTTGGTTACACTAATACACTTTCACTGTTTCTGAAGAAAATAAACTCTATCTTTGTAGTCTGTTCTTCTAATTTATTGGCTCACAGCATGTGATCAAAGATTATCACAGTATAATAGCATCGTTTTAGGCGCTATAAACTACACTGAGGTACTGAATAATACTATCGGACTTAATCTTTCCCATCACACAACTGGTACGGCCACATGCAGGTGAACCTTCGTTAATCAAGTGAACTTATTCGTGGTTTTTTTCTTTGGTGGGGCTTGCGAGTAACCTTTATTTCATAAAATTGTCACCATTTTGATATTTGTTATTCCATTTTGTTTTAAATGTCATCTGTTACAATTCTGCTTTACTCGTAAACAGACACTTCGGTTTGAAGTATTGATCTTGCTTATTATACCATTATAAACTTTGTTCATTTTCATTTCTTGAGTAAGCTAATTTACTGGAATCAATCACTAGTCTGGCGAGCACTTGCGTTTCTTTCGAAAGTGCAATTTTGAGTCTACTTACGAACATCTCGGTATTTCTTTTCCTTTTCTTAATGTTTGCTTTTTGCATTTTTACCACGTATTCATTCGAATCGGACGATATTATCCAAGGTAGTGATTCAGCGGGGTTATACGCTCTGAACCACATAAATGTGCTGCCATTCAATGGGTTAAACACACGTGTATGATTTTCACAGATGGATGTCCAGTTTCATCTTCATAACGTGTGTCCATAGGCTCCGAAATACTCTTTCGTGCTTGGAATCCTGTCTGAGGTACCGGGTTCTACAGATAATGTCTCAGTTCGGAAGCCTATAATCAGTTAAACCAAGCCGTTATTCAACGAACCTCTATGCTATATGAATGTGAGTTAAGTGACAAGTCACCGTCTCAGTTATTGAGCTAGATGAAGCGGTTGATTGGACCTTATGTAGTTGATAATGCTTCACTGAAGAAAATTTGGCTACAACGCTTTCCAACGGTAGTAAGGCAAATTCTCTGTGCTTCCAGCCAACCTTTAGATTTGGAGAGTTCAGCCAGTATGGCTGATACGTGTTACGGTACCTTACGTACAGATTATTTCACATACTCCGAATAGCATGTAAATCCTCACCATAGAGTCGTTAATAGCTAAATTAAACGACCTACGTGCACATCATGCACGCAAGATTGCTAGTCTTGTGGACAAGCTAAATGCATTACAATTATTCGTTTTCAATCTCACACCTCGAGGGTCCCAATCTAGTTACGTCAGTTTCCTTGTCGAGAAATGTGTTGACCAGACAGTAGCTTTACTCTCGTTACTGATTGTACCCCTGGAAGACTAGCAATACCCAAACGAACTTTCAGTGCCGCCTCTAGTATATAAAAGAGCGATGTTATTCTTCTGTGATATTATGACACATCTAAACCACTGTGACTACTCAATTTTGACGTCGTACTTTATTTTATGAACTATTGTTTCCCCGTGGCTGTCATCTAACAGACGGTTTCGGTACAATAATCGGCTGTTCGAATGCTCGACGATATAAAACTTGTCCGGTCCAACTTATGGTCTCACGACACTATCATTAGCGCGAATCATAAGTTTACGCAGTCAAGCTAATCTCCCTCAAACTGAAAACGACATTGTCGTCCATAACCAATACTGACTGTTTTTCACTGGTATTATTGACATGAGTCCAGAGTGGCATTCTTGGTTTCTTATGTTCTCTTTGATATTTTTCGGTTCAGTTATTAAACTGATATACAGCACTCACCGTTTATTATCCTGCAGAGACAACTTTATTGTGTCCCTATCACTCTCGATCTGTAGTCTATGACCCTTACTGATTGTAACGGCAATCATCGGCTTTCCAAACTGTGACTACAAATTGATCAATAGCTTTGCACAACGGAACCACGACTTCGTTACACGGTTATACTTCTGTATTTACAGTTATTCTATCTATTCTAACGCCACTTGATAGAAATTTAAAACGTCGTGTTTCTTTTTCCATTATTTCCATGGTTAATCGCCTCATATTCAACCAACGTTCTAGTAATTAATGGTTGCTCGCTATTTCTCACTCAGTTTCTGCTCCCTACTGTCCGTTCGCCTTACAACTTGGTAATGCCCGGCAGATTCATATCAGTCATTTGGCAACCTCTGGTGCTCGACTAATCCAAAATGTTTGGCACCGATTTAAATGACCGTTGAGTATTGTAGGGCCAGTGAATTTTTATTGAGCCCTAGCCAAATAACTGAATGTCTAACAGTTAAAAGATCCTTGTCGGGTCCAAATACTACCAATGAGTATCAATTAATCACTCGCCATGGACTGGCTCATGTGGTGGTGATCTCAACCTCTTTCTTGCACCGACGTCTACTAATACACTTCCGTAATAACGTCCTTCGGGCTATATGGTCTTCAAAGCAGCCACAGTACTTTGATACAGTGAAGGGGCAGTTCACTTTAGGTGCTGATCGTGAAGCGTGTTACGGAAGAAAACATTTGACTGGTTAAAACCTTTATATTTTATATTATTAATTTTACTGTTTTCTGAATGCATTTGTTTTACTCAACTTCTGAACTTGTTTGTCTCTAATATTCTTTTATGCATTTCTGTTTCTTTTGTCTTTGTTTTGGTATTTGGGAGTGTTTGCTCTTCATAAAAGTATTAATGATGAAGGCAAAGCACAAGAATCAAACGCTACTAATAATCTCCACTCACCCAAACGCGGTCAATTCAAATATTTCGCCTTGTTCATCCCTATCAATTAGATTTGTTTGAAGTAATTCCATTCGCATCATTATTTATTTACTGAAAAGAAGTGACTTACATCAAGACACAAAATATCAGAAATTCAAATTTTCACTAGTCAAGATATTACGAACATATTTTACTGTTAATCGGCTTGATAGAAATTAATTAAAACCGATTTTCTCGCACGTATAATAAACACTAAGGTTAGTGAAAAATAAAGAAAGAAGACGATGAATAAATTTAGTGAAGTTAAATAGACAAATGGTCAGATATGTGACACGTATAATGATGGAACAAAGGCCACTTCAGTATAGACGTGGAGAGGATCAATTAAAAAAATGGAAAAAAATATGTTAAAGTTAGTGGTAATTAGTAATTGTCAGAAAAGTTCCGAACGCTGTGATATTTCAATGTAATTAACCATGTTAACCGTACAACAATGCATAAAACTAAACAAGGATTTTGAGCTTTAAACGAATATACATATCACGTATTGAATTGATCCTAGGTTGAAGTTCATGTTTCTTTGAAGTTACTTGCGAATTAATGAACTCTTAAGATATACTGGTACGAACCGTTTCATAGTGGACTCAGTAGCATCATGTGGTTTAGAAAACTTCAATGATTTTCGGTGATACATTTCACTATTGCTTAAGTTTAGTTCGAAGTGCCTTAAAATGTAGTTATGATAAATCTTTTCAACGGTGTTGTGTGTTATTGAACATTATTACGAAATAAAGTTCTCCTGGTAATGATCGCGAACTCACAGCTCGTGTTATGGTCGTTTGTCCCGTGTTTATCATTTTCATATTATGATAAAGTATCCTCTGTAAAGATGATTAAATAATATGGTCGACTGTCAAAACTTCATAGCTTTAGCTCTTTCATCGAGTTTATCCACAATAACCGCACCACACATGTCACCAATATTAGTATTCAATTCTGAACCAAAGTCTCTCATCACACTTTATGTCGTCTTTCATCGTTCTTAGTGTCATCGCTTCGTGACTCACTGTCAGTTGACGAAGAATTTTGAGGAGAAATAAGCGTTTGCCATCAATTCGACTTTATGTGTCATCGACACTCATTTCAGTCATCGATTCGTCATAGTTGGGAAATAGTCTTGTGCGTTGTGATTTCTCAGATAGACATACAGATAAACTCCGACTCGTAAATAAATATGAATATTCAACAATTATTAGAATAAAACGTCATCATCGCTATGTGACGGATTAGAGTGTCTCACTCAGCGTTACCCGATATGAGGATTTGTAGTTTATGGCTCAAACATCTGATCTTGAGCCAAATGATTTTAAATGCCTGCGAATTAGGTAGTCACATTGTACTTGGAACAGAGACTTTTTGAATATTGATTTCAGGTGTACGTCAGACCACATTCATAAAATAGACTCGAAAAACAAGTGGCGTTGTAGTGTCGGTTACTATGTTAAGCCCATACAACTTATTCTAGCTTCTGAAGAGGCAAATTTTCTATTCTACTTGAGTTACGTTTTGGCCTTGTTAACTATTCGCTTATCAGCCCTGACTGTTTCTAGATGGGCGTATGTGTGTGTACATCTTATCTCATCACATATCTGTAGCTTATTTTTGTGTGACTACAAATGTTGATTAACGATGGACTAAATGAAGTTGGCTAACATGCCTTGTCTATTGCGCATCACTTCGTTTCGCTTCGTTCCATCGATCGTCTGCCTGGATAAATGACCGTATAAAATTAACGTATTCAAAATCCTTTCTCGTATTTGTCTTATTTTAATTTTGTTATTCACCAACGCCAGTTAGGTCGATAATTATATACGACGGTTGACGATATATATATTTGGACAGAAATCACTCACGCGATCCCACTGGAGTCAGTCATCAGGTCACTAAAGTAATGAGTCCGTCGATATCTGTTGTGGTCAGTATTCAATACAATCCCTGAACTTAGTATACAGTTCGTCTTTATAACCGTCACT